AGATTGTGGTTAAGGCTGCGTAGAGGACTGTAAGGAGCAGCCTTCCCTCCACCTCAAACCTCTACACATCAAGGTGCAGGGGAAGGCACTCTGCATCATGAAAGACTCCACCCATCCTGCACACAGATTGTTTCAAGAGGTTGAGTAGCATCCAGAGCAAGATCAACAGGCTCAGAGATGAGATTTCATTTTTTTTCCAAACCAGGTAAAGGACTTGTTTATTTATACTTATAAAGCATACTTTTATATTTCATATGTACCTTGATGTAGAAAGTACTACCGCATTGTCAAGAAATACATAAAGCATGATACATGATATTTACACACATTGATTTCCCAAAAGTATAGTTTGGGAAATCAATATGTGTAAATATCAATGTTGCTTCTTTAAATAATTCATGAATTCCCCTGAATTTATAGGACTTTTAATTTTAAAGTGAGAATCAAAGTTAGGAAACTGACAGTCTGCCGATATCACGTGATACCATGATTTAATCATTTTCTTTTGGTCACTTCCATGCTCTGCCACACTCATTAATATATTCTCCACTGAACAGAGTTCTTCACAGATGGCACAGTTCACAGAAACTCCCTGTTCATTACTGCATGTTCTCATCTTTGTTTTATGGGCCAGTAAAGCATCTGGTCAGCACAGAAACTAGTTATGTCTTGTAGTTCATAATAGGAATTCAGTCATTGAGAAAAAAAATTGTAATCTGTGTCCTAATCTATCCATATGCCACTATTCTTTTAAATGACACTTCTTGTCTTTGACAGTTTCACCCATGAGGTTGAGAGTCTGATGACCTCAAACCTCCAACATACAAATAGACACCGAAATGTATACTCTTATTAGAACGTTAGAACAGAGGTGAACTTCAGGACAAAGACTTCATCCTTGTCTGATATTTTTAGATTATTGCTACAGTTATTTTGATATAATTACAATTTCATACTCATAACATAGAAAGAAAACAATATAGCATACCTTATTTGTGAAACATAATTATTCCTGATTAATACTTAGGGAGACTTTAAGCCTTAATCCTGCAGAGAAGTTCTGGACTGCTGAAAACAGAATGAAACCATGTGATTTATGGACTCAATAAACAGAATTTCAGAAAGAAATAGAGATATTTTATGTGTGCTTTTGTTTCTGTATATAGTATATATTTCCATTGCCACTGTCGCCCCAGTGGCGTTGGATGTAGGAGTTTGCCCTGAAATCGAAGGATTGACGGTTCAAGCCCCGGCTCCGACTTTCAGTGTCATTGTGTCCTTGGGCAAGACACTTCACCTGCATGGTCTACTGATGGTGGTCAGAGGGCCTGGTGGCGCCAGTGTACGGCAGCCCCGTTTCTGTCAGTGAGCCCCAGGGCAGCTGTGGCTACAATGTAGCTTGCCACCGTGAGTGTGTGTAAATGGGTGAATTAATGTAGTGTAAAGTGCTTTGGTCAAGTCTCCTGACTTGAATAAAGGCGCTATTTAAGTACATGCCATTTACCATTATGCTTGAAGTCCTTTCTGGTTGTATTTGAATTCTTATGTATTTCTTGTTTACTCTCTGTTGCCCCCTTGTGTAAGTCTCCTTTCCCCTAAGCTCCCTTCTATATCCTTCTGTCCACACCTGCTCCCAATCAGTTGATTACTCTATTCTTTGTACTGTTTGGCATTTATACTCCTCCTCTGCAGTTAAAGTTGGCTGAATTCTCTTCATTCCTTCATTCCCTCCTTAACCCATGTGTTCTCTTTTGTTCTGGTTCCTGTGTTCCTTAATCAGTTATTTCTGGATTTATATTTCTGTTGCCACCACTCCTTACTAAATCTGTTAAAAACCCCCTCATCTTTAACCTCAGCATCTGGATCATCTACAAACCTCGGTGTAACCTGACAGCAAACAATAAATAGTATTGGAGGAATTATATCTATATTTAAATTTATTGAAATTTAATTGATAGTTCTGATATAACAGTCCAAGAAAATAATAAAAACAGGCTTTAAGTTGGATGAAGAGTAAATGTGTTGCCCTGTGGTTCAGATGAATTATTTCAGATCTATAGTGCATGGCTGAACTATCCATACAATTGGTAGTTGCTGTATTCTATTAATATGTATGTAAATCAAAGAGGACCTCTGAGAATTGTGCTTTGGTCAGTTTTAGCTAGAATCTAAAACTGAATTATTCGGAAACCGACACAGAGTTTTCAAACCGAAACAGAACAAGTCAACTATGAAACTAGATGATGGAAGTTTCATGTTCAAACATGCTTTGCTTCTACAGAACGGGCCCGCTCATCATCACAGTATCTGCCATGAATTCATCAGTTCATAAGGGATGTTCTAAGAAATGACATGAAACTAGATCAATACAAAAATCACCATCACAGTTTGGCTGAGAATAAAAAAAAGATATATATTTCCTCAGACCAATGTCAGTGACGTTGAAATGCCAGGAAGAACCATCTTGATAAATTTATTCCAACCAAAGGTGGTAATACTGGCTATCTGGACTATGGTGCTCGAGTGTACTTATTCTAAGACATCAAGTTTTTGTTTATAAGTTTAACAAAATGTTTAAGGCTAGTTTTTGGTGTTTACATGTAAATATATATCTTTACTTTCCAAAGATAACAAAATATAGAGATCAATGTTTGAGCATTTCTTTTAAAGAACAAAATATTTATTGGAATTCTGATACTGGATCTTGGTTTTGCTGGATGTTTCATCATGCTAAAAGGGTGTTTTTTCTACCCACTATTGCTGCATGAATTTGTGTGGAAGGTCAGTGACGTTATCAAAGCTGATGTTCACTTTTGCTACATGCTCATACAGAAGGTGTGTATATTGACAAAAGCAAACACTCATGCCAGTTTAAAAGTAGTTACAGAGTATTTCGCCATTGTAAACTAGCTTTAAAAATGCAAAATGCAATAGGGTTAGTTATACAATAAAAATGAATGTAATGATGCTGGTCTTTTAATTGTTTTCCTTTCAACCCTTTCAGAAAATAATGGTTTACATTTTTTTTTGCAATTCAAACATAAAAAATATCCTTTATGGAAAGACCTGCAAACATGAATGTTCAGACCTTTGATTAAAAGATGTCTACCTTTTGCTGCTTGCCGTAACAAAGTTGTGAGCCCTCTGACGAGGAAGTTTGCCCTTGGATTTTGAAGAGGAGCTGGAAGGAAAATCCTCCCAACAACGCCCAGGGCTATAAAAGTAAAAGCCAAACTGTCACAGGTTCGTTATAAAGTAGCTGCTCATCAGTAATGTCAGTCTGAGACCTAATCAGTATGCTGCGAATTGGCTCATAAAGATTCACACATAAAACCACCGCACTAGAACATCTGCTTGGGACTTTATCATAGCACTTAATTTGACATGTTTGGTTTTTTCACAAAATTATTTTCCAATTTAGTCATAATGTTTATAATTGGATCCTGCACCTCATTGTTGGCCACTACAGGCAACAGCTGTGAACAGAAGTTGGAGTTTTTCTCTTTTTTTCAAAAGATATCACTTATTTGCAAATGTTTTGAGACTGTCTTGTCAAGTAAAGTTTAATGATGAGGATAATACTATTAGTGAGATACTCAAATCTGTGGGTGGAGCCCTCTGGAATGACACCCAAGGTTATCCCCTCATTCTGCCAGCCCCTCAACCAACTGATATGCAAAGTAAACTGGGATTTCTGGTATTCTGGGATGTGACTTATGGAGTGCGGTCTTGCAGAAGGAACATAACCTGGTCTCTCTATTCCTGCAGCAGCATGATGTAGGGGAAACCTCATTAACATGAGAGTACTGCACATACGTTAAAGCATAAAGTAACAGAATTGGACTGTTGTGGACTGGAAGAAATGTATTTTCACTGATGTGGCCCCCTTCAGACTGATCCTGAGACTATTCATGCTTGCTTTTGTTATTCCTATGAATAAAGAATGGGATCAAAAATCTTTCAAGATGAACTTTTCGTTACGTAAAATGGATCAAGACAAAAGTAGTAACTTAGCTGGGTTAGGTATCAAATCATTGAAACTTTGCATCAAACCAGTTTCGCACTTTGCAATAAAAAAGTTGCAGCTAAGTGCTGCACATTAAGAATGTAATGGGGATTGTTAAAAAATAAAATAAATTGTATGAAAATATTACGAAAAAAAACAAATGAAATTGAAAAATAGAAACAGTTGAGACATCCATCTTTATTTAATTCAAAATTAAAGAGGGAGGGTGGATTTTCATAGGCCCCTTCAAAGGTTTATGGGTATGATCGGCTCTTAAGAATTGGTTCATTGTTCCAGTATGAAAAATCAAGGGGACAATGTGTGACACCGCAAAGCCCTTTTAAGAAAAACTTATCAACAGCAATAAGGTTTGGGGCAGAAGCCGATGAGCAGCATGACAGACTGACCTGCAGAAGTATTGGAAAAAAAATGGGTCAGTGCCTTCAACATTGATGTTTTGTTTTAGCTTGATGTATTTCTCAATAAAATCCTCCTTTTTAAAATATGTAAAAAAATATATATATATTTTGCTTCAGTCTACCATAGAAGATTCTGTCAAAAAGATTTAACAACACTAAAGCAGTAATGTCTGTTTGCTTCTGTTTCTGCATCTGTTTAAGATGCATTAATCCTTAATGATGCTTTTGGTAATCCACCAAGCCTTTCATACATAAAAAAGCCCAACATGACCAACTTTGTGGGGAAATCCTTTCAGACTCCCTCTGATCTTCAGCCCTTCCCTCTGTGGAAATGGGACTCTCATTTCAAAACCACTAATCTAATGCATTATAGAATAATGTTTCATAGAAGACAGAATCAGTGTTTCTGCTGTTTAGGGAATACAGATGGGAAATAAGGATTCTCAAGAATAACTTCTTAATTCTCCATACAGTTTGGAAGCATCTGCTGTTTAAATAAAATACTTGAGCACAAAATGCATTTGACAGAATAACTAACTGGCTGCTGCTTCTGTGTTTAATACCATAATGTACAGATATATAATGAAGAAAGGCGACAGTTCAGTCTGGTGAAGAATCAACCTCGAAGGATTGTGGAAAAGGTGGCTTTGGATATAGAAAAACTGCTGGCAAAGAAGCGCAAAGCACTCGATGTGAGCATATAAAGTCTTTATTATGGAAAAATGTTTATAAAATTTGTTTTATTTGTGGGGGACATGAACTGACAGGAAGATATGGTGGCCCAGAGGGGTCAACTTAATCTAAAAGCCACACCACAGCAATACAAGTCTAAATAATCTGAAGTTAAACAAAGTGAAGTTGTTCTGAAGCCAGTTAGTTTCAATAAATAGTGGTTTTAGGAAGAATGATGGAGATGGAGGAATATTGCAGAGGAATCTTTGGTTATGGTGCTAATTCTGTGAGTCTGTGAAGTGGGTTCTAGTATGGCAGTTTTCAGTGTCTTGCAACCAAAGATAACTAGTGATGATTATTTGACAGTGTCAATCTTGAAGTGGGACAGCTCCTATACAATGTCCACTGATCAACCAAAAGGAATGCAGCTGTTGAATGCAAGATCTGTTTCCATGTTTTTTTTTAATGAACCATAGAAGAGAAACATGTAAACATCATCAGCAGGAACATCACATATACTGTAAGATGAGAAATCATAGCAGTAAAATGGAAAAATCTAATAAATAAGTAGGCTAATAAATACAAAGTTACCAGATTTGCTGTGCCAAACTTAAAACATGAAAGAAACGTATCTATTACATGTATCTACATCACAAACACTGACACTGATATATTTATGTTGTGGCTTTTGGATTTTGCTGACCCCTGTCAGCCACCATTGGAAGAGGATATGTAATTTTGTTCGCAAGAAGCAAAATAAAAATAAAAAAAACTGGTTCCCCTTTTTGAAATCAGTTTGGGAGTAAATGCATTTACTTCGTTATTTGGCTGTAGAAATTTATTTATTAATTAGTAGGTAGAAAACAGCATTAAGACCAAGTCTGGTAAATACTACTGAGGTTTTATTTGAGCTACTGTAATAAGTCAGCCATACTAATGTGTTCTGATGTTTTGCTGTCTGAATCATATAGCGTTTAGCGAGTGAAGCAGAACGACTCCAACGGGAACATATATGGCAAGATGGACTCAAGGTAAGTTTGTTTTTCATTTATAGCCCCTGAATAGTAACCTCCTTTGTTTGATATAACATTTGATTTTAAAGAAATTTTCTAATGATATATGGCAAAGCCACTGGTTTTCCACTCAATCCATTTTTTCCCAAAAAATCTAGTTTTGAGAAACCAATAGGAACTGAAATAAAACAAATCTGTGGCTGAAATGAACTTCGTCCCTTCACTCAGCCTTATAAATAGGGTAAGGACATTCATCATTAAGGGGAGTTTCAGAGTTGAGCTGTTGTTTTGATATTGACTAGAGATGCTTGAGATAAGAGACCAGTGGAAGGACTAAATATCTGGCCTACTGTATGAATCCCTTGGGAATGTTCAGAATAAGAACAAGAATGGGGAATTGGATGGATGATTTAAACTGTAAATGTATAAGCATTATTATCATGTACTGCAATGGAATGTAGTAAATTATTGCTATTTATCTAAATTTTAGGCTTTCATTCTGTTCATAGATTTTGGGGCGCATTATATGCAATGCAGAAAGGTTTCAGAAGATAGATACATCAGTCATAGGGCAGAGGAAACAAAAAAAAAAAAAAAATCATCGTTAACAAGAACAAAAAATATTTTTTTTTCACAGTATCCATACAGATTATTTACAATGCTGTATAATAATGTCCTCATTTTAAGAAATTGATGGCGTAACATGCACCAACAATATTGCATATCATGTTTTCCTAATATCTCCAGGCCTAACTTGTCATTGTCTTTTTAATTTGGGCCAGTGTGAGATTCTAATGGTAAAGCCTGGAGTAAAACTAACCTGCTTTAATTTGAACTTTAAAAAAGCAAACAAATAATGCATTACTTTTTCTTAGAACAGTATAAATTACTTTACTTATTTCTTTATTACTTTCTCGCCGGAGCGAACCGGTGGTTGTCCTTTTTGATAGTATACTGATAGCTAGCGTGACATAGCAACATTATTATTAGCATCACTAATAAGATTTTATATAAATTTTTATCTCTGAGATAAAGCTTTGTCACGTGCAACTGCGGTTCAAATGAGGTGTCTCCAGAAACTTATATAGCAGAGATAGGTGTTACTGGTGTAGATCAATACAATGCTGAAAAAAAGCAAAACGCAGGTTAAGTATAGTGAAGTTTTTCCATGAAAATAACTGTAATCTGTTAATATCCATTTTTTTCCTAGCCTTAGATTTCAAATGAATATACATTTTAAAATAATTGAATGTTTTTGCAAGCATGTAACAAGAATATTTGCAGATATTTGTAATAATTAGGCCTTTCTATTCTACTCTCCATAGTTTACTGTACATGGATGTTGCTTTAAATGTTGAAAGCTACATCACCTTTTTTGAAGCTTTGATGGCGTATGTTTGACAGCCGTGAACAAAGTTTGCTTACTTTAACTTCTTCTGATCAGAGAATGTAATAAAACAATTCTCTTTACCATTTTAAACAAATATAAAGAATTTGAAGCAGCCTCAATGATCTGTAATCGTTTTACTTGATATGTTTTTTTTTATTTTTTATGTACCTGTCATTTATTTTAATGTATCTATGTTTAATGTATCTTATTTAACTTTGCTGCCTCTTGGCCAGGACACCCTTGAAAAAGAGGTTTTTAAGCTCAATAGGGTTTTTTTCTGGTTAAATAAAGGTTAAATAAAATAATATCATATTTGTATTTACACGGTTAAACCCATTATATACAGCCATGATGTTTCTCTCAAGTGCGATGATTAAATCTGCTTGTTACTCATGTTCTCCCGATGGCGTCTCAGAGGAAGGGTTGGCATCGTGTTGGAACTCTCTAATTTGGCAGAAGAGTTTTTTTTTAACCATCCTTCAGCCAGCTTACCAGGCAACTCATTAAAAGGATTTGCAAATATAGACATATTTGTTGTGGCTTTAAAATGTGATTGACATCTGTAAATGGGCCATACATGCTGTTGAAAATATGCAGTTAAATTTAGCATTAGTAATACCCATTTGTGAATTATTTCAATAAAAAAAACTCCTACATTTTTGATAAGTTAGAAACAGAAGTCAATAGTGATATATATATATCGGCGATTCTAAGTTTTTAGTGTTTACAATGAAATTTGTAAAAAGGTAGTTAGAATTTTGTGAAATTATCAAAATAACATGCAATACGGCATTATGAATAATTATAATTTGGTTATCAATGTTTGGGTAAAAATCATTGCTGCATTAGCATAGTGCATTAACAATTGCACATCCATGAGTAAAAAGAGCTACTATCTGTTGAAAAAAAAATCCCCTTTTATTTTTGACTTTACACAAGGATGGCAGACTGAGAGAACTGTTGTGCTTGGATGATTTGGAATGCAGCCTCAGGTTTGGAGCAGGCAGACACTTTGCTAATCAGAAAAGGTCAAAAATAGTTACACCACTGAGTGGAATTTGAAGCATGTCCTGCCTCTTCCGAAAGTCAGACTACAGTAACAGATAATGATGGTCCACACAGCTTCTCCACTGAGTCATAGGTTGACAGTTCTGAGCGAAAAAAAGAAAAAAAAGGAAAATAGTGCTGAGGAAAAGAGACAATTATTAGCTACACCTTTGCAGACAGAATAAAATAGGTTATTTTATTCTATCAGAATCTTGGAATATAAGCAGTTAGCATTCAGGACATTGTACGTTCAAAGCACAATTTTAACATTGAATAACTTTTTAATTCCCTTTGCTAACGTTTCCTGAACAGTAAAAATGGAAGAGACCGGGGAAAATGTGGAGGAGGTTTTGTGGCTGGACTGAGTGTCTCATGGTATCTGTGGAAAATCAGAAAATAAATCAGGTTTTGTAAGAAAAGTGCAGACTGAGCTCAAGTATATTCTACTGTGAGATAAATAATTTAGGAACAGAAGCTGGTGTTAGTTATTAGTTAGGCCACTAGTGAATAATTTACATGGAGAAGTGAGTCCGGTACTCATGCACATAGGAATCTCTCGCTTGTATGTTACATAATCTAACTATGTAACTACATCTAACTACATGTTACTATAGGGAAATGTAGTATCTCAAAGATCATAAATGATTTTGTATATTATGATCTGATATTGCATATAGTAGCATATAGTTACTATGCTAAGTAGTAAAAGTATTATAATATAGTTACTGTCTAACTATATTATAATTCTGAGGAATGTTTGGTTTTCCCTTCACTGTCTTTAATGCACCTCGGCCCATCTGAAATCACACAGTATCAGAAATGACAGAGAAAATAAGAGATTTGTGTTCAACTCTGGAATTTGTGTTTCTGCAAATATTTTAGGAATGATTTTTTTCACAATTAGATTAATGTCTTGTCTGTTAAAATCCATTGGCTTTTAGAATTGTTGTAAATGATTCCTCTAACTTATTTTATAACATACATTTTTTATTTTTCCAGTCTTTCTGCCTTTCGCAGACATTTAAGATATTTATGTTTTTCCAAAATGCATAGAGATACAATGTAATATAATCATTTTATTTATAAAATAATATAAATGATAAATAATTATAACAAAAATATTTTACAGTATTAATTTTCCAAACTTTTTTGTAAATTCAAACACCCATTTGACATGTGCAAACATGTGACTGCTCACCCTCATTACGTTTTACAGTCTTCATCATATCTTTTCATTTGCTTTCCTGCAGGAGCTTGACATGGCCTACTATGACTCCAAAGCTGATTTGGAATATGTAAGTGCTGGACTAAACAAGCTGTCAAGCTAAACAGGTTTAAAAGGCATATATTATAATTTAAACAGCTTTTCTTTTTCAGTTTTGTTCAATCTTGTAGTTCATGGTTGGTTTATTTTTGCGTCCATTATTTATAAATTAATGTTAAAAAGTGCAAATGGGAAAATAAATGAAAAGTTAGCTGAGAATACAATGAAAGCTGGTGAAGCTGTCATGTCTGAAGGGCCAGAGCATAAAAGAAGAAAAGAAGTAGGGTGTTGTGAGCAGTAGGGTAGGGACCTAACAAACCAGCACCTAACCTGTGGAGTTTAATACAGCTAAGTGCAGTGATCACTTGTGATGGAAAATGTCTTTCATAATAGGAAAATTCTAGAACTATTCAGGCAGATCTCCCATCCTTCTGCTCCTATTGCAGCAGCATTACTGTGGTGCACAGTTGTAAGCACATTCCTCCTAACAACCTATGCCACCAGAATGGTCAACAATGTACTACAGAGTCTAACTGGCTTCAGTGATGTAGCTGTAAAACCATCTTTCTCAGGAACATCATATATCACTCAGAAAATTCTACCTTATTAAAATGTATTTTAACCTGTGGCAACAAAAGTGAATTAAAGGATAGTAATCATACTGCAGCTACAATAAAACAATCATATTTTTTTTTTATGGAGGAAAAACGTGATCACAGCTGCAACAGATTAGGGTGCTTACATCTAAAGTATGTGTTTTGAGTGGATGGTTAGTTTATAAACTTGAACTGGACACCAACTAATGTTACCTTCAAAAAAAGAACATAAAGAAGGCGATTTCTCACTTAATAAACTGCAAGCTTATTAAATAGAACTCAACAGCATATCTTTGGTCTGACGGTTGACTCCCTGCTCTAGCTATCTGCCAGAAGAACGACATTAAGTTTTCCCTCAGGTTTGAGTTGTTCCTTCCCTTAAATCAAAGATTGCTGTTGTTTCCATGGGTAACATGCATGTTTCCTGCATAGGTGATCTATGTAGCAAATGTTCTCACTCTTTTTTTCTTTGCTGCCAAAAAAGCAGTCATACTTCCATTCAACATATTTCTGTTAAGAAGTCATTATTTCAGTGACAGACAACTCATTAATTACTACGAGAGATTTCCTGACTTTGGTGTTAAAGATCAAATGTGCATAATTCATTTTTAGAAACAGTTTCTGCTCACCAGAAGCAGGATGTGCTGTCATGTGTATGCATTGTATAATTTCAAGATATTTTCATTTTTTGCTTCAAAAAATATATATATATTTATATGTTATAAAATATATATTTGAAGTTTTCTAAACACATGATAAAGTTTTGTGCTTGAATTTTAACACACTTGTTTTGACAGTATTCCATGGATGGAGAGGCAGAGGTGGAAAACCCCTCCCAACTCAAGCTTGAGTTTGTGTATGATCCAAACTTCAAAAATAATGTCAACTTCTCGCACACAGCAGTTCAGATTCCAACAGATATTTACAAAGGAGGTGAGTGCTGCTCAAATGATGTAATCTCAGAGACCTATTAATATCCTTGTTTGCCACATTTATGATGAAGATAATTCTAAACAGTAAAGCCAACTGTCATAAAACGGGACAGATGGACCCAGTATTCAAAGTGAGACAGCCAGTAGGAAAGTTCAAAACGTTAATTAAAACAAAACCATAAACAGACAGAAAAGAAGCGCTGAGCTGATGTGGATCTGCGGACCTTCAGCGACTGGGTTGAAGGGGCACCGCCCAATTGCTGACACTCTTTTTTAACAGTTTAGTCCATACTTGCAACAAAAGGCAAGATCATCTGATGCACTGCCAACGAGATGCGGCCCTGAGTGTTCCCAATGCTGCAGCCCCAGAGAGTATGCAGAAAGCCGATTCAGGTCAGGGGAGAACAGATCAGGCCGGAAAAGTTCAGGGATCCAAGAGTTCTTCACTTGATCAGAGGTTCTGACCCAAACAGGAACAGAGGGATCCAGGCTTCCAGGAATCCTCAGAACGTGAAGGCAGTTTAGAAATCAGATGGGTCCAGAAGTGTGCCCAGACAGACATGCACAGGCACGTCCCAAGGCAGGTTCAGAGTCCCGTACATCGAGATACCAGCTCAGACAAAAAAAGCACAGATACAGACAGGCAGAATCCAGCAGGCATCCAAAGGTGGTTCAGGCAAACAGATCAGATAGGGACAGACAGGGCCAGTGGATGAGAGGGAAAGGATTCAGGAGATCAGAATCACAAATGAAATGCTGAAACGCTCTCACCACTGCCTAGGCCGATGTATCGCTTTAAGTTTAAAGTGGATGTGGCTGACATACCGACTTGTTTGTTAAAGGTATAGTGGAGGATTTTCGCTGATTTTTGGAAAGACCCGACCTCTCCACTTTTAAAAAAAATCCACATGCACAACCCTGTATCTGCTCCCCTGGGAGGGACCATCTATTACATGCATGCGAGAGCGTGCACAAGCCCATTTCTCCTTGTGCACACTCTGTTTAAAAGTTGCTGTTTGCAACGCTCATGAACTTACTTTCCAAAAGAAGATTTGCAATTTTTCCACTATGGCAGACTCACCACAGGTAAGTGAAAATGGGGACAAGTATGTAGGACAGCCTTATGTACACATATCACCAGAATGATTGTCAATTAGGAGGACCTCTAATTTTCATGATCCACCCAAAAAAGAACATCCTCCACTACACCTTTAAGTCCCGGTCGGCACAGTTTACACAATAAGGTGAGTTTTTTTCTGTCCAAGGCTTCCTTTGTGAGTTCATAAAAACAACAAGCGCTCTGCAAAACTAACCTCAGAAATACCAACAGATGAGTCTGAATCGTGCAGAAAAGTACCAGCAGTAGAAAAGTTTGACTGTTGTTTACCGTAATAAGTGACGTAAAACCTATGAAATATGTTGTTATCAATTGACTACGAAAGGGGACTTAGTTTGTCGCTAATTGTTCTCAGAGTAAACGTCGCTCTTGTTCACGTTCATTACTTCAAAACTGATCCGTTCAGTTCACCGTTCACTAAAAATATTAAAATATCCAGTGAACGCAGTTCATTGAACGTGTTCATGCTCAACACAGGTTACCTTAACTAGAGTCGTAAAGAATAAATTTCAAGTTTCAAAAGTTAAAGTAGAACTTGAAATTATTTTAAAATAGGAATGGGGCTTTTTACATTTTATTTTGAAAATGTCTGCTTGTAACAGTTTGATATGCATACTCATAATTGTTTTTGTTGTTTAAAAATACTTATTCTTATTTAGAATCAATTACCAAAAAATATGGAATTATATTTTTTAGCTTTGATATAGTTATTGTTACACATCTATTGCTCATTGTATTAATTAATCTATTCATAATAAGAATAAAATACATAAAATATATATCGTTGGTTCATACAAGTCCAAGCATTACTGTGCATTTTAAATAGTGTATTTAAATGTAGGCGTATTATGTATAATTTAAAAAATGTATGATAAAAATCATTTTATTTCAGGATTTTTCAAATATTTTTTTTATGTTTTTACACATTTCAATTTTGTATGTTTTTATAGAACAGCAAAACCCTAAAATACACACATATGTTAGAAAAATGCATACAATTCACAAAATACTGGGGAATTTTTATTCATTGAGGATTTTTGCTTCGCCCTCAGCTCCAGACATCCTGAATGAGCTGAACTGGACTCAGGCCCTGGAGAGAGTCTTTATGGAGAACAGCAGGGAAGATCCGTCACTACTGTGGCAGGCGTTTGGGAGCGCAACGGGAGTCACTCGCTACTATCCAGGTAGCTGTTGATACTTTTAAATATAAATTAACTATTTTGAATTAAACAACCACAAAGCTCTATAAACCCCCTGTTATTTATTTCTTGCAGCTACTCCCTGGAAAGCACCTGATAAAATCGACTTGTATGATGTCCGGAGAAGACCATGGTACATCCTGCCATTTACAAAAAGTCAATGTTTTTTTTTTTTTATAGACTTACAGTATGTGTGGTCTTATATTTTTCTTCTTTCTCTCTTTGTCACAGGTACATCCAAGGTGCCTCATCTCCCAAAGACATGGTCATCCTTGTTGATGTGTAAGTATTCAGTCATTTTTAAGAAATTTTTCCAGGAAAATTTTGTCTTTTGGTCACCTCATGTTTCACAACGGGGAACATTTAAATTCTCGTTGAAAAATTGAAAATTTCTCAGGAAATGGAAAGCTGGGTTAAGGTTTTAAGATAGATGATCAAACAAAATTTCCGTTAGGAGAATACAGCATATACATTACTGTTGTTTCTGGTTGTAATTGCCATTGGAAAGCCTTTTTGTGTCTGAATAACAGAATGTAGCTGGTCTTAAGTTAACTGGAGGCTAACAGATAATGATGGTCCACACAGCTTCTCCACTGAGTCTTAAGTTAACTGGAGGTTAATTGGAGGCAATGCTTTATTTATTATTACTCCATCTGTTTTGTTTTATTAAACAAAACAGCCACACACCATGAAACCATTACCACCATACTTAGTTAGTTATTATAGTGTTAGGCTGTGGTTACTTGCTTTAAACTTCTTTTGCTTTGACTCCTCAAAAAAATTTTTTTTTTCACGTCATTTTAGTTGAAGAGGGAAAAGTTGCGTGTTGACATGAAGCTGTTTTCCAAAGAACAGTTGATAGGAGGAAGTTTAGATTGTTGCTGACAAGTTTCATTTTATCCTACAATGGCTGTACCAAGCTTAGGAATGGATAAATTATTACATTAAGCGTTTGAAATGGCTCCAATCTCAGCAATATGGAAAATGTCCAAACTATGGTAAAGTCCAAAAAGCACTTTGCCCTACATTCAGCTATTCACACTGACAGAGGCGAGGCTGCTGTACTATCACGCAACCAAGCTCTCTGACCACCAGCTGCACATAAGGGTGGGTGAAGCGTCATGGCCAAAGACTAAACAACTGAAACAGACAGAGTGGGGGCCTCACAGGGCAACCCACCAGTCACTAGCCTCTACCTCCTGAGCCACTGTCTCCCAATTATGAAGTGGAAGGTTAAGGTTAGTGACATTAGCTTGGGAAGTCAGATTTAATCCTGTAGAGTAAACTATGTCAAAACAAAACTGAGTCTTTGATGTAACTTTGCAAATACATGGCTAACTGAGTGACCATATTATTTGACCAACTTCTGCTTAACTTGCACAATAACTTTGATGTACTTTAATTAGAGATCTCTCAAACCTTTATCTGCCTCTACCCACTTACAGTTTGCTCTTTTTGCTGTGTTTGATCAGGAGTGGCAGCGTCAGTGGACTAACGCTGAAGCTGATCAAGGCGTCTGTGATGGAAATGCTGGACACTTTATCTGATGACGACTACGTTAATGTAGCCAGGGTTGGTTTTACACGAATTCTTGCCTTTTGATCAATCCTTAATCATCAAATCTCTTCATCTTTTGTACTCGACTGCAGACTGTCTCCTCCTTTGTTTCAGTTTAATGAGAAGGCTGAGGCTGTGGTCCCTTGCTTTAAACATCTCGTCCAGGCTAACGTGCGAAACAAAAAGATTTTTAAGGAGGCGGTGCAGCAGATGCAGGCTAAAGGCACCACTGACTACAAGTCTGGCTTTCATTTTGCCTTCAACCAGCTTCTTAATGCAAGTTACCCACTGATTTATTTCACCAGGAAGATAATTAACTCCAACCGTACTGTGTTTGGTCTCTCTCTATTGACCTGTCATGCATATATATTACTGCGTTTTACAGAAGACAAATGTTCCGCGGGCTAACTGCAATAAAATAATTATGCTATTCACTGATGGAGGGGAGGATAGAGCTCAGGATGTCTTCCTGCAATACAATTGGCCCAACAAAACAGTCAGTGTTATCAATATATTTTCCAAATATAATCCCTCTGTGCATGTAATTGATGCATTTTATATCTTTAATTCTGTTTATTTTCTGTCTCCCCATCAAGGTACGAGTTTTTACCTTTTCTGTGGGTCAACATAATTATGATGTGACGCCTTTACAGTGGATTGCTTGTACTAATAAAGGTACGCTGAAATTTTTCTTTCATGACCTTGTATGCCTATGTATTTTGTGAACTATCACCATACAGAGAACTCTTCAACAGCTGAAAAAAGCAGCAGCTCAATGACCAAGTCAGTACTATTTGAGGCCCAAAGTGTACTATTTGATCATTACATTAGTTGGTTAATAAACATGCCTGTTCTCAGTCATCGAGGTCATGGAAAACACAAAACAGGCTTCAGTCTCTCTGTAGATGCACCTGGCCCCAAATCTTTGTCAATTCTGTTGGCTCACACTAGAGCTATGTGTAGTTGGAGCGCTGATGTTTTTAAGCAACCACAGGTCCATCCTCTAAGTCAGATACAAATCAAAGACCCACCCGTTATTCTTGGGTAATTTAAGTCTTTTGTTGTTTATGGCTTATGTGTTCTACACACATAAAAAACACCTGATTCTCAGTAACAAACTCTAACAATGCCTTATTCTTTATACCGTTTTATTACCCATGAGATTTGAATAGTTTTTTGGAGTCATGTTCATCTTCTTTTTACTGTGTTTTAATATTTTAACTTATATGATTCTAAAAGGCTGATGGAGTTATGCATTAATATATATAGTTTAACAGTCAAGAATAAACCAATCACCTTCATCGACTTATTTCACATGTTTAGACTTCTTTACCCCTTTATTGCTTTGCACCAGTTTCCTAGCAAGAAGTCACTAACACCATCAAAAAGATGAAATTCTCCACATCTACCCTTAATCCTTTTCATAAAGGTTGGCGAAAAGCAAATATTTTTCTCATCAGTCCCTTGATCACAAATATTATTAATCTCTGGCTCCACCACAGGCTGGTGTCGTTCTAACCACTCTAAAAACTGACAACAATAAACCTTTCTCTAAAAACACAATCCCTTATATCCAGAACAGCTTGCCAATGACATGTTCATTTGCAACCCTCCGCTCCTACTCTAAATTCTGGAAAAAGTCATAGCCGCAAGCCCATGTGACCGCTTCATTCTCAATAACATCAATGAGAAATTTCTGTCCTTTTACTTTGCTTTGCCCGTAGTACAGAAAAGACCTTGGTCAGTGTTGCAAATGACCTCATTATAGCAGCTGATGCTGGCCTTTTCTTCAGTACTGATTGTCTTGAGGTGTCCTGTGCAGTAAATGGGGCTGTGAGGGGGTTGCAGTGCAGAGAAGAAAACCGGACCCTCTACTACAGTGAACATGTTAAGATGCAACACGGACATTGGTCCATGATGTCCAAAGTTATTATCATGGTTTATGGCCCAACAGACTCATACAATCAACTGTGGAGTCCCTCAGGGTTCAGTCCTTGTCCCCAATTTGTCACCCTTTACATGCTCCCCCTGGATAGTATCTTCACCTACCACAGGATTTAGTTTCACTGTTATGCAGACAATACACAGATTTTAATCAAAGCTGACTCGAATCCCCCTTAAACTTTGATATTACTCCATTCCAACTTTTCTCAAGGAGGTTAAAGCTTGGATGTACTGTTCTTCAATAAAACGTGCAAAACTGGAGCTCTGCTAATCAGCATCTCTCAACAGCTTCAGTCTTCCGCCCTCTTCACTGTAAACTTCTCTGGCCAGAACATTTCATTTCTTCTACAGTTACAAACTTCAATGTAAGGTTTGATCCCCACCTTACATTTGAAAAAGTTAGTAAACACCTTAGCAACACTTTCCTTCAACCAACTTAAAAACATTCCTACTCATCCGATGCAGCCAACTAGTCCATGCTTGCATGTGATTTGTGTTACTTATTTATTTCTCTGTTGTTATATTTCATTTTCATTCTTTTCTGTGAAAAATTGACATTTTAAAATGTAAAGGGGATTAGAAATATAAATTATTATTATTATAATCATAGATTAAAGGCCATTAAATTGATGGTTAATGTGTGATTATCCTTAAAACAGACACATTTTTATACATTTCATTTAAGTTAGGACAGAACATTTGCTCTTGACTTTTAGAAAACCTCTTTTAATATTTTGTGTTTTTACAAATGGTTTCTCTTGGTGTGAATCTCTCTGTTTGCCTAGCCATAAAAACTGTTACAGAAATCACCAAATGCCTTCTTCTGACTCCAATGACATAAAAAAAAAAAAGAATTAAGAAACAGGAATAAAAAAGAAACTGGAATAAAATGTATTTTTATAAATTCAACCACTTTCTTTATTACCAAATATAACTGTTAAAGAGTTTAAATACACAGTGAATATTTTGCTGAAATGTTGGCATATGTAGGTACTACTTTAATTCAACTAAATTCAGTCCAAAAATACTTTATTGATCCCAAAGGGATATTTAGTGTTGTTGTAACTGTTCTTGGGTCTTTTCAACCAGTTGCTGTAGATGTTAATAGCTGGAAGGATCTTCTGTAGAGGTCTGTCTGAAGCCTTTGACAGAAAACATTATGTTGTTGTTTAACAGTTTTCTGAAGAGGATGCCCAGATTTGTTCATCTTCATTTAATGAAAAATTAATGAAAAATTCTTCTTAGTAAGATCATATTCAGAGGTTCCAGAGGAATTCCCAAACCAAAGCCAGCCTTCTTTATCAGTTTGTTTTAGCTTGTTTAAGTCATTTGCTCTAATGCTGCTACCCCAGCAGGTGATGGCACTAGAGATTCTACTCTCCCATCCCTTCTATTAGATGGCCTCATGTTCCCCAAAAATTCAGGAAGCTGGACATAATTTATTGAGGCAAAACTAAAACGACTGACTGAGGTACATGGCAGAAAGAAGGAGAAATATGCTCAGATCTGATATCAAGCAATAATTAATAAGGATTTGAAACAAAACCCCCAAAAGCCTACATGGCTGTTGGCACACTGAAGGCCCCTCTTTGTTTTAAGAATCTGGAAACTCCATTTTAAGATAAAGTACAAATTAAAAGCTGTTTGACATTTAGTATGAAGGAGATGCTCGGCGTACCAATCGTGCCAGCAGAGATTATTCAGCGAAAAACCTAAGATGTATAATTCATCAGTCGATTTATTATGGACTGATGGCTTGATGGACAGCTGACCCAATCTCTAGAGTAAAATCTCTGGAAAAGGCCTTGTTTATATGCTTTGCTGTGGAGATGCAGCAAACCATCTTTCTCTACTTTTTCTTAAAGTAGAGAAAGAAGAAAAACTTAATTATTCAAGAATGGGACCTACAAACCCAGTTTTCTGACTGAAATTGGCTCAGAAGCATTTCAATGTTTCATATTTTATGATTACAACAGTATCATTTAACAGTGTCAACATCAGTAATGAATCATGGATTAGACAATGAAGGATACAATACAGAAAAAAACACCATAACTTAAAAAAATACTATTTAGTTTCTATGATATTTAAAGGTCTTAGACCAACCAAATGACCTTTAAACTTATAGATGGGACAGTTTTACACGCTCTGTTCCACTAAAAACCTAAAACATCATTTTGTTTTATTTATTTTTCATTTACTATTGTGTGTGTGTGTGTGTGTGTGTGTTTACTTGTTTTTCCTACAAGCCAGGGACACTTTTCTGTTAAGCACTTACATTGTGAGGATCAACCATCTTAATCGGGACATCCATCAGGTCGCCTTGGGGGAGATTACTGTGTGTGTGTATTTGTGTGGAGCAGGGGGTATGCGTTGGTGTGTATTTTTTGTTACACACAGGGTATAAAATGTGTGAATTTTACATTTTACCTGAAACCACAAAAAAGAGATTCTGCTGAACTCCATGCTTTTGCTCTAACCACTGGGCCACCACTCCCCTAGTGGTTAGAGCATTGTGCTTGGGTCCCGGAGGTTCTGAGTTCAAGTTACATACACTCCCACAGACTACCACCCTGGGTCCCTGAGCAAGACCCTTAACCTCAGACTGCTCCCAAGGTGCCAACTGTGGCAACCCACTGCTCCCGAAAGGGGAAGGGTTAAATGCAGAGAGTGAATTTCCCCATTGTGGGAAATAAAGGATTTACATTTACATTTTTAATCTGGTTTTCATATAAAAATAATTAAACCTATTGACAGCAGTTCTACTGCTGCTGCCTGCTTAAAAACTTGGTACACCATTATCTTTAATCAATGCAGCACCTTTTTAAAATACTCACATACATTTTCATTTTCTGTGTTTTGTCACTTTTTCACCAAATCTATAGTTTAAAACTTGCATTTTACCAAGAAAATCAATTGTTTGCACCACAAATCTGAGTATTATTGAAGAAGAATACGAATTTAATTATAAGAAGTCTTGTTTTTAATTAGAGTCAAGCTTTTCATGCGCAGCGGCAAATGTAAAACAGTGATCTGGTCAGATGAGATCATACTGAGCTTTTCAGTCCACATCCAAAACACTTTGGGCCTGATCTTGAGGTCTGTGTTTCCTAAAACAGGAGCAAACATGTTTGTAACGTTGAAAAGGGATTTTGCATTTTTAATTCACCAGACAACCTGTGCATGTGTGCCTTCATCAATATAAAGATCATATTCTAAAGACTAAACTACACATATTCATGGATGGAGGATATGTAAATATAAATATTTACCACGTGCAAAACTATTTTGCTAATGTTGTCTGCCATCCTGCTGCATCTGTGTTTGCCTGTAGACATTTTTATTATTATTTTACTATTGTTATTCTTGACAGTCTAAATATGTTAACATGTGCACAGAAAATCTCTTCATCCCCTAACATGATACCAATGCTGCCTTTCTAGGTAACAATGACTGTATATATCTTTGCTTCTTAGTTTACTCCTGACTTTCTTAAGTACAAAAAACCATGGTATGTTACATTTGCATATCATCCACCCATTAATTTGCATGGTTTGGTCATAGAATGTATTCTGCATATTAATGAAGGCACACCCATAAAAAATGGTTTGCACACACTGTCTGTTTGCGCACACGAACACATATCACTATGCGCATTTTATAAAGATCTGCTACATTTTTTCACTTTTAAGACACGCAAACCTGAAGATCAGATAAGTCTATTATTGGGTTTGTTTTTAAAGCACATTTGTTAGCATTGCCCAGTTTAAGTGCAGAAATAAACGGAAATTAATATGATCTGTTTTGCAAAGAAGTGGAGGAAAAATGATTTTAGAGATAAGCAAAACTGATAAAAGACCAAACCCCCCAAAAATACCTGCAGCTGTGTTATTTAAAAAAAAAAATGTCATTTACTTATAACAAATTTTACATTATTAGTATATGTTCTAGTAATTAAGCTCATGTACATGATCTCAGCTATGTAAAAAATACAAATACAAAAAACATTGTTGAGTGAGAACAATGCAAGTTTTTTTCTAAGCCTCTTATAATAAAAGAAAATCTGTGTGCCTGAATTTGATTAGAGAGAAATGGATTAAACTGGATTAGCAGCAGTTCAGTGTTTTGAATGCATAATCTGTGTTCTTTGACAGCTTTCAGGCTTTCCGCAGACAAGTCCTTTGATGATTTAAGCAAATGCACTGACATTTAATGCTGTGAAGTGTTGCTCTTCAAGCTCTCTGTCAGGGAGATTTTGGTGACTGGGTCACAGTTTTAAGTAAAATCTCAAATCTGGAACATTCATGAGCCCCACAATGCATTTTATCTGATCTCATGCACATACTCCTTTTTTCCCTCTCTCTCTCTGTCTGTCTGTCTTTTCCCCCCTCTGTGGCCTGCAAGGTTACTATTTTGAGATCCGTTCCATCTGTGCTATACGGATTAATACCCAGGTGGGTTGGTGTGGTCCCTCTGACACAGCTGATCCCTTAGTCAATGTTTCACTTAAAGCATCTTTGTCTATTTTGCAACACACCAAGTTTGTGGTTTGATGTTGAATTTCCTTTAAAGGTTGCATCTGCTTACGTTATGTCTGTATTTTTAATCAGGAATACCTTGATGTGCTGGGGCGTCCAATGGTTCTGGCAGGCAGTGTGGCCAAGCAAGTTCAATGGACCAACGTGTATCAAGATGCTCTGGTGGGAAGCTGAGTATATTTAATCAAAAACAGCATATAAGCTCAATACACAGGGGAAAGGGTGAAACATTTGATGTAACTGGTGCTGTTCTAAACCTGTTCTTTACAGGGACTTGGCCTGGTAGTAACAGGGACTTTGCCTGTTTTTAATCTCACTATGAATGGAAATTCACAGGTAGCAAATCCACAGCAAATAATGACAGAAGCTTGAAAGTTCATAACCATTGGGTTTTTAACTTTTTAACATTTTGTCCTTCATGTTTTTTTTCTCAGAATCAGCTGATATTAGGCGTCATGGGAGTGGATGTACATTTAGATGAGATAAAGCGACTGACGCCACGCTATAATGTAGGTGGAACTTAATCTTTATGTTTGATTTGCTAGAAAGAGCAGTTTAACACCCTCTTCTGTTGTCTGCAACAGCTTGGAGCCAATGGCTACATTTTTGCCATCGATCCGAATGGATATTTGCTCCTTCATCCTAATCTTCAGCCAAAGGTGCCCTATGTGTGGATAATAAGAAATTGATATGTATCAGGTTGAATTATTTCTGTTTTTGGCTTATTTGGTGTTTAATTGAATCCTCTCAGCCTGTTAACCTTCCTGAACCTGTGACCCTGGATTTCCTGGATGCAGAGGTAGAAGACGCTAATAAAGAGGAGGTGAGAAGCATATTAAATTACAATATCTTAATATTGACTTGGGCTCTCATTAGCCTCCTCTGTTTGTCTTGGGGACAAAGCTCAACATGAACGGGATCTAACTAAAACTGCCTTTTTGCTTTGTTTGTTTTTTTTTTACTCAGATTCGGCGGCAGATGATTGATGGAGGAACAGGGGAGATGCAGATAAAAACTCTAATTAAGTCTGTTGATAAAGTGAGTAAATTGAAGATTTTGCTTATTGCCTTTGCTAAAGCAGTTTTTTGCAAGAATTCAATTAAAAAATATATACAAATTCAGATTAGCACAGGAAACTATAAAACACTATTTAACTCCTTTTTTTCTTACAGATGAATCTATCAGAGCTACTTATAGAAGATGTTTCCTTCTGACTATATTCAGATATAATTTTATGTCTAAATCATAAATATGTAATATATATAAACATATTTTTCTTCTTATAGGTTTTACATGGGTTTATGATCTGATATGTATGGTGACCACTTGGTGTCACTCTAAACCATATCATTAAAAGTGCTGTGAAGTAGTCTTATAACAAAAGATGCTTTCCATAAGGGATTTTGTATTTCGCCCCTAGATAGATGTAATCAATGTTTTATTTTTACCAACTGTGTAGTGGGAATTTATTCTGTTGCACTAAATTACTATTTATCCTGGGTTTTACCAGAGTTGCAAATACTGGCAAAAACTAGCAATGACTACCACCTTAATGAAACATCTCGATCTGCCTACAGCATATAAACTGATCACTGCTGAGACTCAAAAATGTAAAAGATTGTGAAAATAATCTAAAAACATTTTTGTTAATGACCACTCGATTATCTTTGTTAAAACATCTTTATATCTGTATAAATGCAGCAATACATCGATGAGGCATACAGAGGGTACACCTGGACTCCTATCAATGGCACTGATTATAGGTGAGCTCAAACAAATACAACACACACACACACACACACACACACACATATATATATATAGATAGATAGATATGTAGATATATAGATATATATCTATATATCTATATATATATATAGATATATAGATATATAGAGAGAGATAAATAAGGCTACGTTCCTCTTCTGTTTCTTTTCTCATATGCATCTGTTTGTTGGGACGCTTCCACCTGCAGCCTTGGCCTGGTATTACCTCCCTACAATGAGTATTACATCCAGGCAGACCTGAGTGATGTGATGCTGCAGCTCCAGTGTGAGTACAGGCAGGCGGGCTCCTTGCTCTGTGCTGCATCTCATTCTGATAACCAACAGCAATGAGAGGTAAAATCAAAATATCTTGTGTTCTCTCTGTTTTCTGCTTTAGACATGCAGTCGTTGCTGCCGAGCTCCTTTGAATCTTCGGGGCATGTTTTCCTGGCTCCAAGGTGGCTGTCTTTACCTTCTTTGATTTTGTCTTAGATATAGGAAGTATTTTATTTACACTTTTGTTTTTCTGTAGGGAATATTGCAAAAATCTGCAGCTTTCTGATAACAACACACAGTTCCTGCAGAACTTCCTCACTCTTATGCTGGAGAACTCCCCAGAGTCTGATGAATGTGGGTGAAAAGACAGTGTAGTATTAACACTCCTCTTTAGATACACACAAGAAAAATAATGGGCTTTTTTATTCTTGCTGCAGGTGACCAAGGCCTCATCCACAACCTTATTCTGGACTCTAGGATTATTGGTCAGCTTGCTTCTCGTGTTTGGAGGAACAAGGATCTAAATGCGTGAGTCAGCAACACATTACACAGAAATGAAACCCTCCTAATCATGACAAAACAAACTAATGCTGATTGACTGAAATTACAGGTATGGCTTCCTGGCTGTCTTTGCATCCACAGATGGGGGAATAACACGAGTTTTTCCCAACATGTGAGTAAATCAGCAAGAGAAGCAGAACATTTTTGAGGAGGGCACACATTTTCTAGAAATCTTTGCTTTAACATATTTTCATCAAGTGTGTTTCTGGTCCTCAGAGCTGCTGAGTTGTGGGATGTGGATCCAGAACCATTTAATTCAGATTACTACAGACGAAGCCTGGATAACAAAGGCTACATGTTCAGACCTTCAATGAGAGCATGTGAGTAAGAGAATATTTAAATATTTAGCTTAACATTTAACACTACTACTTGCCTAAATTATAATATTGAAAAGTTTTTTTATTTTAATAATTTGATTCATAAATTGAAACAGAATAGAACAATGTTCTAAGCAGAGATAGTAGAGACTGATCAGATTTAGAGTTAACCTGTTATTCAATGAAGACAGAGTTGAAGTGGTGTTGACTGTTCACTCACAGTCTCTATAGATACATTATTTAAAAAAAATGTTAACAAAAAATACAAAATGAAAACAAATATTTACATATTTATAATAAAACAACTCAAAAATATGACCTTAGGTCACTGTATATGCAACCAATAAAACCAAACAAAACTGTTTCTCAAAGTTATTTAATTGACCTATGAATTTAAAGGAAGACTGCTGACCTAACAATTCGCAATTGGTAAGCTGAAAAGCTAACTAATATAAGATTGAGCTAATACTGGGCTCAAAAGTTATACAGTGTTGCTTTAATGTTTGACCATCACCTGAACGGTGCATCTGAATCTCTGTGTGACTAATATTTATGCTGTGACAATAAAGAATCTGTAAACCTTTGAAGCTGTTTAAGGTATTAGAGGACCTTCATAAAGAGTGGGATGCAGTTGGAGTCTATGCTTCAATACCCACCATGCACAATCATACCCACTCACATAGGTTACTGTAAGGCTCATTTTATTAAGTTATTCCTGAACTAGAGGAAATTAAACATAGAGGGGAATGTCTTATTTGTGCTAATAAAAAAAAAAAAAAAAACTCAACTCTTTCTCAATGATCCAAAGTTCTCTATTTAGGTTAAAGTTTATTTTACATTTAAATTAGGATCAAACTTTTTCCATCAGCCTTTATGCCATATGAATGTGTTAGTTCAATGAGTTTTGATCAAATCAACGGTCACCAGAGAAATCCACCAGAAGGTTTTAAAGCACTTCATGCTTTGTAATGGTGCTGATTTCAATTGTTTCTAAAACAATTTGTTTGTATAAATATTATCAACTACCAATGTGATTTTAATAACCTCTGTAACTTTCCCTTTTATTGGTCTGATTATTGGCCTTTCCTAAACTCCATAAAAAGCAATGGCGTATCATCAAGAGGAAGATCAGAGAAACTACATCTAACTAAAAGTTAAATGTTTATATCAGGGCAGCCTGGACTTTATTAGAATCTCAGCAGCGCCACATTCACTGATTTATTCTAACCGTATTCTGATAGCATGTGCTTCTTTTTTTTTTCCTAAAAACCCCAGAGTTATTTTGTTAAACACAAGATTACATGTATATCAGTTCATTGATGCGTTGTGTGCTGAACAGCAGATGATGACCCTTTTGAAGCTGAAAATGGCACCACGGGAATCCTGGTTAGCTCAGCTGTCGAGGTCAATTTAGGGGGAAAACTGCTCAAACCCTCTGGTGAGAAAAACCTTTTCACACCCATCATTTAGGAAATGACTTTACTTTTTAACTAGAACGTTTTCAGATGTTTTTTACTCCTTCTTGTGTTCATGTGGTTTGCTCTCTGGTCACACAGTAGTTGGAGTGAAGCTCGACCTGGAGGCGTGGGTGGACAAGTTTAAAATCCTGGCCAGCAATGTGTCTGATAACCGACAGGGGTCACACAAGGTACACCCCTGTTTTTAGAGCTTAATCACAGTGTTACAGTACATTCAATTCAATTCAATTCAGTTTATTTATATAGCGCCAAATTCACAACACATGTCATCTCAAGGCACTTTACAGTTCAACATACTTTACAGTACATCATTTGAGCTTTTAGTTCAGCTTGTATATTTTATCAATGCATTTAATTTCTCCTCCATTTTCACTTCCTTGATGTTATATTTAATGTAATTTCTATGTGCTGCTTTAAATCTGTATTTCCATGTGCATATTTGTTCCAAAAAAGTAAAAAAAAACATTTACCATTTATGTACCTTGCATAACTGAATAAGCCAATATTGCACAACACACATAATAAGTAATTTGTTACATTTTTAGTAATTACCTGAGTTTACTTTGATGACTTGCACTGAATTAAATCAGTCAGGGATGCATAGTCCGGACAGTAGCTGCTGACAGCCAGCCTCAAGCACATTTCCAAATGTTCATCAGTCATGGTGGAACGGTAGTTGGACTTAATGATCTTCGTGTATGAAAAGGCAGTGAAGGAGGTAGCACATTTCCTCAGGTTAGGGTACTTCTGTGAGTAAGTTCCAGAACTGTCCATGAGCTCTTGACTTCAACTCAATGTCAGTTTTTAGAGTCAAAAGCTCATCTTCCACTCTAGAAGAGTTCAAGTGAAACAGCGCTACAAGGTTTGATGTGAGTGAATCAACCTCATCATCTTCCTGAAAAGGTTAGCACATAAATGCAGCAACTGGCTCAAGCAAAGAAAATCTTAAAAGCGTTTGTCAAACTCTGACAGACAGTTGTTCATCTGCTCAATGTAGCATGCAATGTCAAGTTGCTCACGGGCCTTCTCTTGTGTCTCCAGCTCTGACGCCAGGTTCTGGAAATTTGCCAAATCATGGGGCTGCAGCTTTAAGGCTAAATGTTGCATATTTCATTTGAAAGCGTTAACTGAACTAATCATATTGGTCACTGTTTTGTATTTTCCTTGCAGCTCAGGCTTAATTAATTCAACAAGTTTGTCAGATCAGTTAAAAATGCCAAGTCCAACAGCCGTTGATGATCATTTAGCTGCTTGTATTCTACATGTCTAGATACACGGAAAAACTCTTTAATCTCCGGACAGAGTTCTCTAAATCTTTTCAGGAATTTCCCACGACTAAGCCATCTCACATCAGTATGTAGCAACAACTTAGACTTGTCGCAGTCAGCCTTCTCCAGATGTGCACGGAATAACCATCTTTGAAGAGATCTGGCTCGATTAGAACATATTTGTTGTTGTTTAAAATTTATTGTTGTTCGATATTTGTTGCCACATCCATTTCTTTCATGTTGAGCATTTTAGCGCATAACGCTTGCTGGTGGATTATGCAATGGTGGTTCAAGAAGTTGGGAACGCATCGTCCTCCCTGCACTTTGCAATAAATACATTCACACGTCCAATCATTGCAGGTGCTTCGTCTGTGGTGATAGAAACCAATTTGTACACTGGGAGCTGAGATTTCCCAATAAAGTTTTTTAAACGGCTGTAAAATGGTCTCTCATCCAGTCTGTTCCATCATGGGAAGTGCTGTCAATAACTCCTCTTTTGCAGTGAGACCACTAAACAACGTAGGAATGAAAATACAGTTCTGGGCTGTGTCACTCAAATCTGTAGATTCGTCCAATTGTAGGAAAAAAAACCTCACAATCTCTGATGTCCTTGCACATTTGCTGGGTTGAAACCTCAGCCATGGTTTTACAGCGTTGTGTAACTGTAGATCTTGATAGCTGTAGAGTTTTGATTAAAGATAATATCTCTGCCTTATTTTTAAAGTCTGCTTTAACGGATGCTTCTTTTACCATCTCTCAGTCTGGAAGGACTTTTTAATGATTGCTTGACTCACCTGGAACGATGCTTTGGTGGTAGCTTTCGCTTTTGAAGTTTCTTGAGTGAAAAATGACTGCTGAGATTTTAGTTCCTCCACTTCTCTCTTTCTCACCTGGCTTTTTGGCGGAAAGTCGATTTTCCATGAACAGTCCGAAAATGCTGCTTCACATTTCACTTCTTTGGTAATGTGATGGTAGACTGGCAGATGAGGCAAACGCACTTTGAAAATGACATTGTGAAAAAAAAGTCCACCTCCCATGCGGTATAAAAGTGATGATGATGTTTTTGCCTTTTTACTTGGTCCAGCTTTCTCACAAATTCTGGTCAGCATATGCTTTACCAAGGGCTTACAATCTGAGGCAATTCGCTAACTAGCTTGTAAGTTTTACTGCGCTAGGGTCATCATTTATACATGAGCGTGACATTCAGTTGTCATATAAATGGTTGCCCTGTATGTCAATGTAGTGACGGGATGTTTGATAGGCTGACAAATATATTTTTTTACGTCACGCTGTGATCGACCAGTACTGCTTCCGCGATCGACCAGTAGATCGCGATTGACGTAATAAGCACCCCTGCTTTATAGAGTGGCCCCAAAAAAAAAGCCTGTTTTGGCTTAGAAAACATACAAGTTGAACCAGACAAACGGGTCCCCCCTTAGGAATGGGGAGTCGTTTGGGTTTTTTGTTAGCTTGCAATACCCAATACAGGTCTATGCCTCTGAAAGGAGGGGTTGTTAGGGGGAATTATGGGCATGGCCGACCAGGCGAAATGTTTGGGTCCCCTGCACGGGGGTGGGGGTTGAGATTATAGCGGGAAGGAATCATATATTGCTTTGCAAAGGAATTAGCATATTTGCTTTTTTATATATGTTTTTATTTTATTTTAAAATTGACCTATGAAATATGATCTATCTTTGTTTAGAAACTTGACCAGAACTGTTCTTTCCTCATAGTGTGGACCATCCAGAAGCTGTGAGATGGACTGTGAAGTGAACACAGACGTAAGAAAACTTTATTTTTAATCTTTTCAGACTGTGTCATATGCAGTACTCCTTCACAGCACTTTACAGTTATAAAGTGATTTGTATCAGACAAATAGGAACCAAATACCAAAGAGTAAGTAGGTATTTAAATAGTTTTTGTATTCAAATATGGAAGGACAGAGTATCAAGTTTCCTTTTCTTAAAAGTGTTCAGTGGCTGGCATAGAGGAATGCATGGTAGGAGTTGTTAAGGAAAACTTATTTCACATTTTCATGTCAAACTTAAGACGTTCTGTGGGTCAAACCTCTTGGTGTCGTTTGCAGGACTTGCAATGTTACCTTATCGATGATGGGGGCTTCCTTGTCATGTCCAATCAGAGAGATCACTGGAAGCAGGTGACATTTTTTCAAATTGTTAAGAAAAATCTGACATTATGGTCATGATGCTGTGGCTTATTGTGATGGAGGACCCTTAAACACCAAATAAAGAGTCATGTTTTCACATTTCATCTTAGATTGGTCGCTTCTTCGGTGATGTGGACCCTTTCCTTATGTATGCACTTTACAACAACTCCATCTTCGCTCGCCGACAGTCTTTTCAGTACCAGTCAGCGTGTGAAATGGTTAGCAGGAGTCACACCGGAGCAGCGGCAAGAAGCATATATGTGGTGAGCCACACAGGCACGGTTTAGATGAGGGTAGAGGAGATGCACTGTTGTCTTACTGTTTACTGTTCCTGCAGCCGTCCATAACTGACGTCTTAAGCCTGGCATGGTGGACGTCCACACTGGCATGGTGAGAGCTCTGCAAACCTAGTAAAACTAGATGCACCAAACACTTTACAAAACATGTGTTTAGATCAGTCCACATATGTGCACATCGGGACTTGTTTGCTGCTAATTGACTGTCATTTATTTGGTGTTGCTTTACTGATTTTCCCAGAGTGGAGTGTTTTTTTTTTAATTAATTTTTTTATTTGGATCTTTTTAGGTCAGTGATTCAGCAACTTTTGTATGGACTTGTCTACAGTAGCTGGCTCTACCACGGTAAATCCTTCTAAAAAAAGAAAATATTTCAACTTTAGTAGCTACAGGAGTTCATTAACAAAATGACTGACATAATCATATCCTGGTTCAGTTTCTTTCTAAAAAGAAAAACAACATGCTGAGGCAGTTTGATTTATTCAAATTCAATACATTTGTGTAGCACTTTGCTGACCAGTCAAAGTGCTTCACTCTATAATTCCACTTACCCATCAACTCAAAGGAAACTCACAGTATGCTGATTTCAAATCATTGCTTTCCCTTTATGTCACAATCAACCCAACATACAATTTCACAACCACTAAACTCCCCAAATTAAACTGTTTAAATCTAGAACTTGATATCTGTGCGTTTTCTCTTTTAGATGATGCCTTTGTTGATGGATTTGAGACCAAACAAAGCAGCTGTGTTACCATCCAAAGCCAGTTCTACTTCACAAACACCACCAACTCCTACAATGTCCTGCAGGACTGCGGAAACTGCTCGCGGTCAGCACTACCTCCAGCATCAGCAAAATATGTTAAAGTGCACTTTTTATCTGTGCTGTAAGGCCAGCGCTGTCTGTATGGGGTTGGCTGACCATCAATCATTGTCTCCCACAGGCTGTTCCACTCAAAGCGTATAGAAAACACCAACCTGCTCTTTGTGGTGGCTGAGACGCTGCCCTGTAGCTCCTGTGAGATTGAGAGACTGTCCCAGATAAAGAGGGAGTGTATCCTCTCTGCTCTCGCTCACTTTATGTGGTTTTATTTGAGCTAAAAGTGGAAAATGTACGAAGTGTGTCTAGTTGGCTTTCTTTAACTTAATGTGAACAGTTCAGGAGGAAAATCCATGTGACCTACTGAGTAATGCACGATATCGTAAAGGCCCAACCTCCTGCTTTGACTACAGTGCCTTAGTAAGTAAAATTCAATATATTTGTGCTTCAAAGTCTGAGCTTATCATAGGACATTATTAAGGACAAATGTGGGGTTTCTTTGTCAGAAGAAGTTAAATAAAACTTTCCTTTGTTTTAAGTAGTTGCACCCTATTATCTGTTTGCAGGAGTTCCCAAACTTTCTCTACTGTTATTAGAATAAAGATGTTAATTAGCAACATTTAGTCCATCAACTAATATTTCTCAAAACTCAAAGCTTTTTCATTCTTCTTGATTTAGCTAGATTTTCTATTTTTATTTGGAAGATTTTAAAATAATCAAAGTATTGAAGCGGCTTTCTCACTTTCTCCCTCTGTTGGCAAAGCAGTTCAATGTCAATAAACATGACAGCAGTAGAACATTAGACTGAGTCAGCTGCATAACAAAAGGAGTTGGAGGCTATTCTGCAATTCAGATGTGCTCCACTGCTAATTACGAACAAAGCTCCTTTGCAGATAGCTGAAAAAATGCCCCAGTCAGCTAAAGGGAAGCTTGTGGAACTCCAAACATAAATGTTTTCTGCCTTACTTAAAGCTACAGTGTGTAATAATTACAGGGATTAACAGTCAGAAATGTAATATATTATACATAACTATGTTATCTATCATCATCTACGAGCTCAGCCGCTTAATATTTACGTTGCCTTAGAATTCGTTATTTATAATTACATAGGAGCGGGTCTCGCAGCCATGGAAGCAGACATCTTTGCGCTACGGCAGCGCAGATCCAACAAACTAGCGATTGCGAGATTGCCTATTACGCTCGAAAGTAACTACGGCAAGTTGAGAGAGATGAACTGAGACGGTACTGAACAATAGATGGCAGTATTAAAATTATCAATGTAAGCAAACCTCATCACTTGAGAAGGTAGATGATGCGGACATCGTGGAAGGCATTTTGTCCTGTAACGCTCGCCGTACTGTTGGGGGGGAGAAGCGGTGGGGGGGAGATGTTCATGTTGCTGCAGTCTGCAGTCTGAACATTAGATGTCGCTGAAAATTACACACTGTAGCTTTAAAATAAAAATAAAAAAATAGAATTTGTTGTTTGACTGGTTTTCCACTTTTTTAGACTAATAATAAAGTATGTGTCATAAACTGGATTTTGCAATACAGCAAAACTCTGAGCTACAAATCAATTATTGCAGGTTAAGATACACAAAATACATTCAGAAGGTTTTTCTTTCCATTTTTCCATGTGAAATATGTTTTTCTATTTCCTCCACAGGAAAACACATCAGAGTGTGGACGGGGTTCTTCACTGCAGTCCTCTATAGGAACCCTTCTTTTCATTCAGCTCATTCTGCCCCTCTTCCATCTCTCACACATCCACACACACTGACATGCTCCTTCTTCTCACATTTAGGCTTGGATCTACACAAGGTCATATCAAAAACCAACTGTGACGTTATTTGTCGTTTATTTCAACCAACTACTCATAGGATCAGCTCCTGGTATTTTGTTATGCCTTATTATACATTTGGTTAGGCTTTTTAAAAGCTTCAGTGTAAAATATGGGAAGGGGAATGTAATGAGGTTGCATGCAGCACAACCTGATAAGATCATAAGATTTTATTTTTATCTTCCACATTTCACAGCTAAAGAAAGGTTGCTAAGGCAGTTAATAAGAATCAAAGTGAAGAACAATTCATTAAAAAGGTGATTTTTTTTTCAAGGATGTCAGTTATTTGAGATCATAAAAGGTGCAAAAGCACATTTACTGTTATTGGGTGAAGTTCTGCATTCCAACTTTGTACTGTACTTTAGGAGTGTTGCAGCATTTGTGTCTTATACATGTTTTTACAGAAAGTGATCTAAGGCATTTCTCTTCCATGAAGCCTCTAAATGTAAATGTTATAGAGTCGGGTGCAGGATGAGACATCCAACTCTTTTTTTTTTTTCGTCAGACACGTCTTGTGTTGTCCTTAAATGACACCTGCAGCATTTAGTTTCAAAACTAAACCAGTTATATAACTGACCACTCTCCTGTGAAGACAGTGTAAACTTAAAGTGTACAGTTTGAAATATGTTTGAGCAAATAGTCTTATTTGGAAACTCCCTTTCTGCTGTTGAACAGTGCAGAAGTTGGGAAATTATTAAACTGCATGCTGGTTTTTCTTCACAAAAAGAAAAAGTAAAGTGGTCAATTTTGCGTTTAATTGTTATCAAAGATATTTCCAGTTTGAACAGGACCAAAATTCTCTTTAGTTTATCAACCAGTCCACAGTTTACCCATTTGTTCTTTACAGAGTTTTAGGGTTTGGAGCCTGTTTCTAATGGTCAGAACAGTTAAAACTATGAGCTCAAACCAAAGAACAAGATTGCAGGCAAATTAACCTTACACGCATGATGTTGAACTGTGGAAGCAAACCATTATAACTGGGGAGAACCCATGCATGCAGAAGGAGAACATGCAAAATCCAGACAGAATCCAGTATTAAACAAAGGGTCTTCCTGTTGAGAAACAAAAGTGCTAATGATTGCTCTACTGTGCAGCGCCTGATTGAATCAAGATAGGATAAGATTTTGCGCAAGCAAATTGCTTTGCACCTTGTACGAACATCACTTTTCTTGTGCTAACAAGTTTGCACGTGTTTTAATAGATACAAAACTTTTGAAGATCAGATCCTAAATGTTAGAGTTGAATATTCACTCAAAAGAAATAGAACATTAGCTGATTCTGCAAGTTGTCTTAAAGTTTTAGAACATCTACATGAATTGGAAGCCAGCAAAGATACACCTCATGTTTCTCCTTAGAGTTCTAAGCCATGTTTTTTTTTTACATGCATGAGCTTTGAAACTAATTACCTCCATGTTTCTGTTGTGCCTGTTTCTGTTTGCATGTTCAGTCCTCGTACACTTCATCTTACAGTACATAAAGTAGAAAGAGCTACTGCAGCAACAGCTGTTTTAAGATGAAGGTAGAACTTAGCTGTAGCCTCAAAATGATTTGACTTATTCAGTCAGAATAATTCCAACGAAGCTATTCTCACAAAAGCTTAAAAATAAAACATGGTAAAAGTCAATATCATAAAAGCAACCACAAACAAAAAAAAAAACAACGAAAAAAAAAAAAAACCCACAGGTTTCAGGACAATAGACATTCTTGCATTTCACTGCATTGTAAGATTAACAGTGGGTTTTAACGAGATGCTTTATAACTGCTCAGTGGTTTTAAAAAAAGTGCTTCCAGTCAAGTTAGATGTTGTCCAAGAAAATAGAATCGAACAGGTGACTGATTAACTAATGTGTCCATAAGAACTATGACATTGAATGCAATAACAGTCTCCTCACTATTTACATCCATACAATGATAATTATGAGGAATCCTCAATATGCTCTGCTGATATTGCAATTTTCAGTGTTTTATGCATCAGCTGGTGAACTGATTAGACACTCTAAGATGTATTTTTGTAACTTGCATTGTCAAAATGTTGTCAACTTTGGAATTATACACTTGTGAATGCTTCTGTATGGAGAATGTAGCCTATAGATTGCTTTTGATGTTGTTTTTTGAAATCTCTTTTTTTTATTTATTTGAATTGTTCAGCTTGATTCACTGTGGCAGAAGCTTTCTGTTTTATTATGTGTACCCTAACTGACACTTCTGTCAAGTTTTTTATTTGATCTGCCCTTTTAGGACAGGGGTCACAGCATGTACAGTGTAATTTAACAAGCGTAACCCACATCAATGCCAAAATACTACATGCTATTATTCTTTGAGACACTTTTAAATCTAAATTTAAACTTTATAGCATTATAATTACTAAACAGTATTTGGACTTATGTTCTATTAATTTGTTAAACATCTAAGTATAGATTGAGTTTTTTATTAAAACTTGGTTTGATTCACCATAAACCTATTTTTGAAAAATTTAAAAATGTTAACCCTACAGCTTCTTTCAAGGTGATATACAGTGGCATAAAATTCCTGTAAAATAGTTAATGCACCACTATGTTAGAACAATTAATTTTAGACACATTTTTCCACTAAATGAATGTAAAAACATTATCTGCTGTGAAAAAAAGTGTTACTGGACAGAGAGAAGTTGGAGTACTCATAGTGAAATCTATAATGAATCTCAGTGCAGTGATTCATGCTCTCTTGTCTTTTCGGTCATTGATTTAACTGGCTGCTGTCTTACCTGTAGTATGTTTTTAAAAGTTTTCTTCGAATAAGTATTTGTAAACTAACATTTTTCTCTGTCAGCCTGGTGTTCCATCCCACAGTGCCTTGTTGCACTCGTCATTTTGAAATACAGGATCATTTGGATCTCAGCTGTTGACATTCTGTGCGAAAGACATCCTTAAGAATAGAAGCAGCTCAGTTTTAAAGATACTCATTTGTTCCAGGAATATATTAAAATATGCTCATATTTGAAAGCTTTAAAAGAAGCACAGTTGGTAAAGAGAACAGCATAAGGTTGCTGCAGGAACCATGCCTGAAGTTTTCTGATGACAGAACCTGACAGGAACCAACCTGATTGCTGCCCTGCTTTATCTTATTGATTTCTACACTGTGGTTCAGATTTAACATAAAGAACAGACTCTAGATTTCTACTTTTTCCCATAAGCGCACTCAGTTTGTATATATAGACATATATAGGAAAGATTTGGAAAGATTTGCATATCAGAACAGGTGTTTACTTAAACAAAACAAACTTTCCCATCTCTTCTGGACCCGAGCATGACGGGAACTTATAGAACAGACCAAGGCCACAAGATATTCCGTGAGTCTCTTGTAACCTAACGGAAAGTAAGTTTGCAGAGCTTTGCAGCCTACAGCTTAATGTTGGCCGAAGTATTGCTTTATTTCAAATGATGGTATTTACTTGCATGATATTTTGAACACTTTAGAGATATGTGTACATAAAAGTTGATGAGCATTTTATGTCTGCGTCCAGCACTGCAGCCTTTTAAGATAAACATGCACGTGAAGAAGCTGCAGATGAATTTGACTTCAGTGAAGCCTACAGGGAATGATGGCATACGGAAGATTTATATCTCTTACAGCAAACAGTGAAGATAACAAATATGAGCGACATACTGCCCAATGAAAATCTTTTATGTTGAACAAAAAAAAATTATAATTCTGTAAATTTTGTTTGAATCACTGAATATTCATGCATCTATAGGTTGTATATGAAAATAAGACACACTTTAAACTGATCACAGATTCTGTTTGCTTATTATAAATGACATCTCTGTACTGCTTTTTTTAATGTATGGGATATTTTGTATTGTTAGCTATTCATACTCAGCTGGTCAGTGAATAACAGATGGGATCAGAATGGATTTGAACTTCTGCAGGCACAGGGAGTAAAAATGGATACATACTGTAGTACAGCACCCTGTATGTTTACATCCTCTGGATTTTCTGAGATTGTTTTTTTTTTTGCTGTAGCTTTGCTTTTCATTATGCTGACATTGTTGTTTACTAAGCTGGAACGATTCCTTTTCTGTGTGCCAGTGCCACCTCATTTTGTACACATAATATGAAACAGTGGAACATGAAGGATGACTTTGTAAAGATTTTTGTCAGTCTCATTATGAATTAGATATCTAAATGTTTATATATTTGTTCATTAAAATGCTATTGATATTTTTCACTTCAGCTCTTAATGATTATTTATTAGACTTTCGTGTTATTTTCACGCGTAATACTGCCCCCATATTGATCAGTGAATGTATAATACAGTTTAAAATTGACCATATTAAATGCTGGTTGAATAGATAAACCATTTGTCACTATTTCAGGCCTGGTCGATAGGTAACATACACTTAAATGGTCATTAATCTCACAGTAACTACATTCTTCTAATTAATTATCTGTTTTTATAGAGTGTTAAATGGTACAACAAAGTAAATATTATATATTCATACAGTTTAACTATTATTTGGTTTAAAGTCCACAAATTACGAGCAAACTTCTTAAATAAATAATAATGTGTGGAGCGAAATCTCAGTGGATACTAACTGACTCTTAAACTGTTTTTTTTCCTCCCATAAACTGGGTTTTTATGAAAACACCAAAACACCCTTCTTTTTAGTTGACATACTGTTTGACTGTTAATACACTGGCCTCAGCTTTGAAGCTCTTAGGTTTTACAAACTTTGTGTCATCAATGTCAAATTAGTCAAACTATGTCTCATGGATTGAGAAAACTCTTCTCCAGAAAGCTTGTTTATTTTGCCCATTCAAGCATCTGTCCATTTTCAGCTTTGATGTCTTGAATTTGGAGCTGGGCCTTTTTGAGGGTTGGCACTTTCTCAGATCAAAGCAAGGTTAAATATGCAGTAATAGATCAGTTCAATTCATTACAAGTTATATAGCACCCATTCACAGCACATCATCTCAAGGCACTTTGAAGGAATTTATTCAATTCGTACAGTCAGATTGCCTCTTTGTTTTCTGTCTCAAGGAAACCAGCTGATTGCATCGATTCAATGACTTTGCAGAACACGCTCCTCCTTGTTGGCCTTTTGGCGACAGTGCATATTTGCCTGTATTATATTGTTGACTTGCATGCAGTGACAGTGGAGAGAAAAAAACATGCTTTTAACTGGAAGAAACCTCCAGCAGAACCAGGCTCAGAGTGAGCAGCCATCTGCTGAAGATGACTGGGGGTTCCAGGAGAGAGAAGCTGCCACACAAGAGGAACATAGAGGCACTGATCTATACGTAATGTACATGTTAGAAAAGATAACAGTACACTAGCTCAATAGGTTGCTCTGTCTAGAAAATAAATAGATAATGTGACAAACTCTGACAAAAAAATACAGAGAGAACATAATTTGAAATAACTAATACTGCAGAACTGAGGTGGAATGAGGCAGAATGATGAAAAGTGATTCCCATGTCCTTCAGCAGTCTACAGTAAGCCTATAGCAGCATAACTAATGAGATAGCTAAGGATAACCTGAGCCTTTCTAACTATAAGCTTTATGAAAAAGGAAAGTTTTAAGCCTTGCCTTAAAAGAAGAGCTGAAATTTGAACACACGGAGGTGTTTCAACTGAGCCATCTTCCAAAATTTAATAAACCTCGTTATGAAATTGTTCAAGTAGACTAACATTAAGTCTTTAAAATGCCCAAACCTCAACCTTATTGAACATCTGTGTCTAAATGCCAGGTGGGATGCATGAAACCAATCAGTTAAAATGCAAAGAGGGTTTGTCAAAAAAGAGCACTCTCTCATCAGCTTGAAAGAATTTAACCAGATATCAGTAGAAGTTTATGTAGTGTTTGTATGTACTGAAATACATGTATACAAATTAGACTACAATAAAGACAAACTTTTGAACCCAGTCAATACTAAATTTAGTGCTAAAGGTAATAGGAAATTAATTATGCCCAAAGTGATGGGGTATACACCTCAGACTTGCACTGTACTTCACAAGAGCAACGGCCTACAATGTATGCTTTATTTTCTGTACTGCTCAAGCCAAGGACTAAGTTGTTAATAACTATCACCTCATAAAATAACCAGATTAATGAAATTCATCGATCATAACTTCCAGAACACGTGGATCTAAAAGGCTCTGTAATACTTGCACCTCTTTCTAATCCCAGGCTTTAGATGACACTTGAGCCTCACCACTCTTCTGCACGTACCCAGCTTAACATGGTGCACATTTGACTCCTGCCTCTAGAGGATTCTTCCAGATAAAAATAGGGGCTCTACAATAGCATCATCCAACAGACATAACTCTGCACCAACCAGCGGGTTCTTATGGTATCTTTGATATGAAACATAAGACATAGGAAGCTGATTTCAGTCCTTCATGAAGTCAGTCCATTCTTAAAACTCTTCGCTTACAAAACTGTTGGCATTCTGGCTTATGAAGTTAGGAAGTAAGTATAGATACTGGAGAACATCTAGCTGTTGGTCCTAATAATAACAATAAACAATGAGTTTATTAAGGTGTTGCATGTTTGCTGGCAAGGAAAATGTCAAAAGGGTCACAGTTCTCTCCAAAATAGATATATTAATTCATTACTATGGCTTGATAACTGTAGATCAGATACAAAGCAGGGATCCTACTACTGTTGAACACATAACATTCAGAGAGCATATTTAGAAAGTAAATTGCACAGTTAAACACCACTGACCCCCATAAAGTAGCATAGAAAAGTCTAAGAAAGATTTCCAGCAGGAGCGCGCGAACACATAGACTACATAACTATAGACAACATAGATATATGCAAAGACTGTCATTTTTGATGTGTAAAGCACTTTAATTATTCTGCCGTTTTATGATAAAAGCACACTTATACCCTTTATAAAGTGTAGGGCTTTTTGTGTTGTTCTTGGAGTGTACTTTATTTTTTACAAATTATTTCATTTTACCATAACATAATTGTGAGATGTCTTTACTGTTGTTTCACTCACTTATGATACAATTTTAATGATAAAAATAGCAAAAACCAAAAGGTTTTGTTTAAGAACCCTTACAATTTGAAGAATATGACTATAATGATTTACCTTTGTGAATTTACCATTTAGAAAATGTGCTTCATTGTGTGTTAGTGTATGAATCTCACTCTCTAAGTAAAGATTCACTCTTAAGACCTTAGGCTTACCAACAAGATCGGTGGTGGAAAACATCAGGATTTTTAAATAGATATCTGTGTTTAGCCTGATTTTAATATTGCAAGTTTGGGGTTTAGGTCATGTTGAAATAACTTGTTCTGGCTTAGAGTTACGGTGTGTATTATAAGAATAATTGCAGTAAAAAATACATATTTCATATACTGAAAGATCCCCCCCCAAAAAAATTTGTTCAATACTATTTAACAACTATTTAGTACTATTTAATAACACAAGTGAACCTGAGCCATGTGCAGCATGTATATACTGTACATGAGGGCTAAAAAGAAAAAAAAAAACTGCGGCATCCTGGTGATAAGCTTGCTTCCATATGATAGCAAAGGATTTCCTTTTCTTGGGTCACAGATTCAAGATAGCAGCACTTCCTTTCTTTATTGCTAAGAGACTGACAGCTACTGTATTAGGGATTACCTTTTTACTTTCAGAAGAAATCCAAGCTGCAGCTTGTATTGTCAGGATGGGAATGTGCCCTCAGTCAATCAAAGGAGTTTTAAGCAGTTAGGGAGGGAGGGTAATGTCCTTAGAGGAAAGTCACCAGCCATGAAGTGAATGGGATGTTTGGCTTTGATGACTCCATAAACAAGGCATCCTGGATGCCTTCCGCTCTTTTTAGTTATTTCTGTGACTTGTACCTTCTGTCCAACAGGCATTGTTCTTCCAAACATGGCTTAACTAGGCATATGCCAACATATTTAGCTATGATATCAGACCATCAGTGTTTGGCAGCGCAAGTTGAATCTTATTGTCATTTTAATACATCATGCTGTGTTTTTCCAGTCACACAATCACTCCACCCCACATAAGGTGAACCCAATGAGAAAGGCAACAGAAGATTTCAGGGAAGAGGACGATTGATGTTAATTTGCTGCAGTCTATGGCTTCTTTGGGGGTAAAACTGATTTTATTTGCTTTTTTTTTTTTTTTTAGGGTGATGATTAGTGTTTTTGTATCTGATTGAATTTGGCTTTATTCTTTAACAGACATGTTCCACCTTAAAATAATTTTAAATGAACTATTTGGATTAATCTAAAAGTGTCTAATACAAGTACTAAGTGGGTGTAGGTGGATGACCTATGGTAACCTACTAAATGCAAATTTTATTAATTTGTTATTTCTCAGGTTTTGTAGAGGTGGAGGACCATTATGGTAAGTAGGGAGGCACATGATGGCGAAGAAAGATGTAATGAGGAAAAACAACAAACAAATGATCAACAGAAAGACCAGGAGACCAAGACACACAGATGGGTAACGTATGGTAAAGAGATGGCAACAGAGAACCGGAGAAAGGGAAACACCGATTTAAACAACACAGGGATTAAATTAAAGGAGGTGGGTACAATAAAGAGGAAATACAAACAGATGCAAATAACATCAAGTTTTGGCACTGGAAAAAGGTGTATAAACAAATATGACTGCCTACTGTCTGAACTTTGCTTTTTCATACTTTTTTGGTATTTGGAGAAAATTAACACAAAAAATAAATTAACTTTGTTTATGTGTGACAACTAAATAACATCCATGCTCAATAGATGAACTGCAGGATTCTTCCTTTTATCCTAACGCGGTCATACTGAGAATTGTGATTGCCAACTTGTGTGTAGGAGCAGATGCTGGGAGGAGGGGGCTGTTTGCTTTTGGACTGTTGTTTAAAAATTTGTTAAACGGTTGCTTCAACATAGTAAGTAGAGGAATTATTTATCTATTATTATTTATTAAGTTATTTTTGATCCACTGCTGCTAAAACCTTACTGCGATTGAATACCCTCATTGTCTACTTTATTAAGGACATCTGTCCAATTTGTTGTTAATCCAAAAAGTTAGGCAGTCAATCACATGTCAGCAACTAAATGCATTTTTGCATCCTAACATGGTGAAGATGACTTGCTGAAGTTCAAACTGACCATTTAATTAAATGGATTTCAGGCACTGTAACCTTTGATTGTGGTAAATAGGCTGAGAGAAAACCCTGATCTGCTTGTATTCTCAAGCACAGCTGTCTGATGGATTATATTGACAAGTTATGCAAAATACCATCTCTGAGGGCTCAACATGTTTAAACTTGAAGCAGATGGGCTACAAGAACAGGGGACCATACTGGGGCCTGTCCTGGTAGCTAAGAACGGGAAGATTTCATGGTAAAATTAGATAGTGATAGTGATAGTGTCTGGAACAACAACAACAAATAAACATGGCTTCATCTGGCCCTTTGCATCAGTGGGTTAGGCTGTTGCTTGTGATATGGTGGTATTGAGTATCTTACTGGCACACTCTGAGCCTTAGGGTATCAGCTTTAGTTTAAGTTTGGTAACACCTAAATAACTGACAATGCCTCCTCGAACTGCTGTCTTAGTCCAAAATACTGTAATACTCAAGTTTCAATCCCTCAGAGCATGTCAATTATGCAGTTAAGCAGTCTGCAGCAACTGTATGATGCTACTATGTCAATATGGGCCAACATTTCCTCTATGCCATAAACCAATCCTACCATTACTACTACCAAGGTAGTATTAATAAATGTAATGGTAAATGGTTGATATTTTAATGCAAATTATGTTTTTATTTTTGGATGAGAACTAAAATGAAACTTTTATTCAGAATGGAATCTTGACCACATCAGACCTATGCACTGATTATCTTATTTTATTTTAATATTACCTTATCTTATTTTATTCTTATCCTAATCTTATCTCATTCTTATATCTTATTTGTACTTACAATCTTATTTTTCCCTCTTCCAAAACGGGTGCACTGCAAGAAATTTTTTTTCCGCAAGGGATTAATAAAGTAATTCTAATTGGGATTCTTATTACAGGTGAGAAATCTGTAATCCGTAATCCCCAAAGCTGTCCATTAGACGGTGAAATTGACCTTATATTGTTCAAAGAAGATCCACAGGCAACAGATTTGTTAAATAATTTATTTACTGATGAACATTTAGTGAGACCAACTCAATGAAATATCATATTTTATGATTCTCATTTCGTCTCTCATCTGGGTTTTATCTTATTCTTCAGACTCCTTTGCCTGGAAAAAAAATAAAAAATAACTAAAATCAAAATATATACTCGCAGCAGCATTTTTAGGTGAATCTGTGAGCAATAGTTAATGTTAATCATATTTTCAGCTCAAAGAGTTTGCTTACTTTTCCAATTTCCCGACTCCTGGCCCTCAGCTTGTTAACCTGGGACTCAGCGATGTCAGCACGCTCCTGAGCTTCCTCCATCTCATGCTGCACCTTCCTTAGCCTGGAAATGTGAGAGTTGGCCTGTTCCTCCTGTGAGCAAATTCATAAAAGTTATGTCAAATAACTTTGAAAACAAAAATTTTTTTAACTTGATGACATAGTGCAATGGAGCTGAGCCTGTAACTTACAGCCTCCTCAGCCTGTCTCTTATATGCTTTCACTTTCAGCTGCAGCTTGTCCACCAGGTCCTGCAGCCTGACAATGTTCTTCTTGTCCTCCTCAGTCTGCAGTTAGCGAATGATAAATTAACTGCTATGCAGCCTTGTGGGAAATCTGTAAACTGATAAAATAGAAAAAGCTTCAAACCTGATAGGTGAGCTCCTTCACTCTTCTTTCATATTTGCGAACACCTTTGACGGCCTCGGCTCCTCTTCGCTGCTCACTTTCAACCTCCCCCTCAAGTTCACGCACCTGATACATGAGGAAGTTTATAGTTATTAAACAAATAATTTTTTTTTATCAAAATGGAAGTAAAATGATGGTTAAAACAAACAAAGCAACAAAGGAATACCCTAGCTTCCAGTTTCTGGAGCTGCTTCTTTCCTCCCTTCATGGCCAGATTTTCAGCTTCATCCAAACGGTGCTGGAGGTCCTTCACTGTCACCTCCAGGTTCTTCTTCATCCTCTCCAAATGAGCGCTGGTGTCCTGCTCCTTCTTCAGCTCCTCTGCCATCATGGCAGCCTGAAATGTTCATATTTTTTTTAACACTCAGTAATTCTGTTTACAGAAATATATTTTGTGGAGGCAAAATTTTGGCATTACTCACATCAGTGATGGCCTTCTTGGCCTTTTCTTCAGCATTTCTTGCCTCCTGAACAGCATCCTCCACCTCACCTTGGATATGTACAAAGTCAGACTCCAGCTTCTTCTTGGTGTTGATTAGGCTGGTATTCTGGATAAAAAAAGAAACATGACAAAAAAATCCATTGGTGGACCTTTAAAACTCAAGTACCATTTGTATTTGTTTAGGGGAATACCTGAGAGTGCAGCAGTGCAACACGCTCACTGGCATCAACCAGCTCTTGCTCAGCCATTTTACGGCTTCTCTCCGTCTGCTCCAGAGCAGCTCTGAGCTCCTCGATTTCAGCAGTCATCAGGTTGTTCCTGCGCTCCACCATGGCAACCTGCTCTTTCATATCATCCTGGCCTCGGATTGCCTCGTCAAGGTGAAGCTGGGCATCCTGGACACATTTTTTTTTTCATGTAAATAAATCTTGTAGATGTTTTCATAAAATGAACTCTGTATGATAACTTTCTCAACAGATGTACCTTAAGCTGTCCCTGGACGTTTCTCAGCTGTTTCTGGGCTTCAGCCGCCTGTCGGTTGGCGTGGCTCAGCTGTATCTCCATCTCATTGAGGTCTCCCTCCATCTTCTTCTTGATTCTCAGGGCATCGTTTCTGCTCCTGACCTCAGCATCCAGAGTACTCTGCATGGACTCCATCACCCTCTGGCTGTTCCTCTTGATCTGCTCGATCTCCTCGTCCTTCTCTGCAAGTTTTCTGTCAATTTCACTCTTGAGTTGAGTGAGCTCCAGCTGGACACGGAGAATCTTGGACTCTTCGTGCTCAAGGGTGGCCTGTGAAGATGAAATGTCTTCAGATGCATATGTTTTATTTCTAAAAATATCACATTTTTCATTCAGGATTTTCCTCTCCTTAAAAATCAGTTGGCTAAACATCAATAGACTTAAAAGGAGATTTTTACCTCGGCCTCCTCCAAAGCTGTCTGTATTTCAGATTTCTCACTTTCCACAGTCTTTTTTCCTTTTTCTAGCTCATGGATCGTCTTTCCTGTGTCACCAAGTTGTTCAGTCAGGTCCGAGATCTCCTCTTTAGAATCAGAGAGAGAGGTTAAGTTTTAGCAAGCTCAAATTTAAGAGAATCTTGTGATCTTATGGAAACCTTGGTAATTGTCTTACGTTGAAGGTTCTTGTTTTCCCTCTTCAGGGTCTCCAGGTGGTCCAGAGCTTCTTCATATGAGTTTTTCATTTTGAACAGCTCAGTACTCAGCGATCGAGCCTCTTTCTGAGCTCCCTCCAACTCCGCTTGGCTTTCCTCATACTTCTGCTTCCATTCGGCAAGGACCTGACGAAACAGCAAACTATTACATTTTCTTCTTTTTCTTTTTTGTTCACCTTGATAAGCAAAAGAGATTTTGTACCTTGTCAAAGTTCCTCTGCTTCTTGTCCAGATTAGCAGCCAGAGCATTAGCTCTCTCCACGTCGATCATAAGGTCTTCCACCTCACCCTGCAGTCTTTGTTTGGTCTTTTCTAGAGAGGCACATTTTGCATTCACAGCCTCAATGGACTCTTCAGCATCCTGGAGACGTTGGGCGAGCTTTTTCCTGCAAAAAGATCATTTTTTAATTAAAGTAGTCACAGCCATAACAATAAGAGAGACATAGATTGCAGGTTTGACCTGCCAACATTTTCAGCTTATTCTGATATAATTTTACAACTATTAATAAAAATTATTGTAGGACAACTTTCCTAAAACAATCTGCATCATTGAGTGGTTGGAAAATAAGTGTTTATGACTTTGAGCTTGGTCACCCACTATTCTAGATTGGTGTAATTAGCATGCCTGGTATTAATTTGACAGTAGTGTTTGAGACACTGATCTTGACCCTGAGATTTCTATATTCATCCATATTTCCAAATCCAGCTTGTTTAAAGGCTAACAGAGGGAACAAAGTACCTGTCCAGTACTGGATATAGCCAAATTGGGTCTTCAAGCAGTAACAATACCTACCTGGGATGGAGGGGGGGGGGGGGGGGGGGGGGGGGGGGGGGGGGGGGGGTCAACCACTGGTGTCACTTTTACCTCTTGTGCACTTTACTTGGAACGTGCTGCTACTAAGTATTGTACCCCAAACACAATTTTGTTGCCTTTTTTTGACAATGACAATAAATTCTTCTTGAATCTTGAATCACCTACATTGTTCTTAACATCATACTGGGACTCAGCTATGTTATGTCAACTGAATGGAAAAAAAAAGATTTTTGAGTATCTGGCTAGCTGGTTATTGGTCAGCACAATCTAGTCAAGAAAATTGTCAACCCTGTCTATGAGCTAATTTCTCTAACTATAATAGGGAAAAGAACTTACTTTGCCTCTTCCAACTCCTCTGTGCGCTGAATGGCATCGGTCTCATACTTGGTTCTCCATTGAGCCACCTCGCTGTTAGCCTTGGACATAGCACGCTGTAGCTCAGCTTTGGCCTCCTGCTCCTCCTCATACTGCTCCCTGAGCAGATCACAGTCATGACGAGCCGACTGAACAGCATGAGCCAGAGCGTTCTTGGCCTGTGGGTCAAACAAGAATCACATGAATACCTAATACCTCTTACTCCATTTTTAAAGCAAGTTTGTCATGCTTTCTTTCTCAGAGATTTTTACCTTCACTTCCTCTTCTATGTGCCTTTTCAGTTCTTCAATCTGCTGAGTATAAGCTTGTTTACCTCTGGTCAGCTGGGATACAAGAGCTTCTTTCTCATCAAGCTGACGAGCCAATTCCCCTGTTTGAGAAAGTTAATCAAGGTAAAAGAAGATGATCCGTTAACACATCCTACATATTGACCAGGTTATGGTAAGAGCAACACTCTTTGGTGTAGAGGTGGTTACTGAGAAAGTGAACTGTGCTGTATAAACCTTAGTGTCAACTCAAGCTGTTTAAACTGAGGTCAGAGAAGACACAGGGCAAAGAGTTTTTGTGTCATGGAAAGTCAAAAATTTTATACCACTATCTGTTAACAATCCAATTTGGTACCATAAAGCTTTTGCCTGATCCTTCAAACACAAAAGTGATTGAAATGCAAGGACCTGGGAGTGAGTTGCTATAACACCCCTATCACTAAGCCATAAGTGGTAGTTTTTCTTGAAGGTTATTATTTGTAACATTTGAAAACATAAAATCACAAATGAGATTGTAGCCTCGAAGACATAGAAACTTCATTTGTTCAGTCCAGTGTTCAGCTCTAAAACAGAAAATTAGCCTAGGTATAGAAAAAAGTATTTTCATACCACTTTCTGTTTGGAGTCGAGCTTTCTGTCCGCTGATATCATTCAGTTGACGAACATTCTCCTCGTTCTTGGCTCTGAGTTCACTCAGCTGATCTTCCAAGGTCCTGCACATCTTCTCAAGGTTTCCCTGACGAAAGAACACAGTTTGATTGAGTCAAATTGATCGTAATGTATTTTTGTGTGTGGAAATAATAAATAAGTTCTGACCTTTGCTTTTGCAACAGACTCCATGTTGCTTGAGAGGTCATCAATCTCCATCTTGTATTCACTTTTTTCTTTCTCCAGCTTCTGTTTGACTCTCTGCAGGTTATCTATCTGCTCACCCAGCTCTGCCACGCTGTCAGCCTGCTTCTTACGGAGAGCTGCAGCTGTAGCTTCATGCTGCAGGGTGGCCTCTTCAAGGTCACGGCGCAGCTTCTGAAACTCAGCCTCGCGCTTCTTGTTCATCTCAATCTGAGCTGCAGTGGCTCCTCCAGCCTCCTCCAGTCTCTCGCTGATCTCCTCAAGTTCTCTAGAGAGATCAGCTCTCTGCTTCTCTACCTTTGCCCGAGCTGCTCGCTCAGCCTCAATTTCCTCTTCAAGCTCCTCAATACGAGCCTGAAACAAACAAGGTTGTATGAGAAGATTCTCAAGGATATCAAAATGTTCCTTTGGTACATGGCAAGCATCATGTCACACCTGCAGCTCCTTTATCTTTTTCTGTAACTGAACTCCAAGAGACTGCTCATCCTCAATCTTGCTGAGGAGTTGGCTTATCTCAAAGTCTTTTCTGCAGGTGGAGAAAATGTTAAAGTTTTGTCTTAGCAGACCTTTTCAAAAATTGTATTTCTTGAAATAATTCAAAATATTGCTACACTTACTTCTTGATCTTCTCCTCAGACTGCTGCTTGTCATTCTCTAGATCCATTATGGACTCCTGGGCCAATTTCAGGTCTCCTTCCAGCTTTCTTTTAGCTCGCTCAAGGTCCATACGGAGCTTCTTTTCTTGCTCTAAGGAGCCTTCAAGCTTGTAGTAGAAAAGTTTTATATATTACATGACAGATTTTTTACGATATATTTGAAACAAATCAAGTATAACCATCCTTTCATATAGTGAGAAGTCCAGTTAATGTTGGTTTAATGCAGTAAAGATAAAGGGTAACCAAACCATAGATAGAGGGAGGATAAAATAGTATAAAAACAAAACAAAAAACTATAAAACCTGAGAAAATCAACTGCCAGTTAAAGACCTTTTTAAACACTCACATCATCCACTTGTTGCTCCAGCTTTGTTTTGGCTTTGGTCAGAGTGTTGACTTTGTCTTCCTCTGCCTGCAGATCATCAAGGGTCTGTTGATGAGCCTCTTGGAGGGCTTTCTTCTCCTTTGTCAGTTTAGCAATGGTCTCATCTTGGGAGGCCATTTCCTCTGTGAGGTTTTTGACCTGTAATGTGTTCCATAAAGTTAAGTCACCATGACGTTTTAAATGTTTATAGAGAGGATTAATGTCTATATAGAAAATGACTTGATAAAGACTAGAGTGTAACCTTGTTCTCAGTGGCATGTTTCTCCTTTTCTACTTTGGCAAGAGTCAGCTCCAAGTCATCAATGTCCTTCTTTAACTCAGAGCACTCATCCTCAAGTTTCCTCTTCTTCGCTGTGAGCTCAGCATTTATTTCCTCCTCATCTTCCAGTCTCTCGTTGGTCTCTTTCAGTTTGGCCTCAAGCTGGATCTTTGCTTTGATGAGCCCCTCACACCTTTCCTCTGCATCAGCAAGGCTTTCACCTTCCTAAATGTCAAGTTATTTAGTTGATCAAATCAGTGCATGAATATTTAATGATTAATATGTATGATTGAGCATATTATGATACTCACAGATTGCACTTGTAACAACAAATCATTCTTCTCCTGAAGGAGAGAAACCATTTTCTCCTCCAGTTCCTTCTTCTTAGCCAAAGCCTTTGTCAGATCCTCCTTGGTCTTGGTAAAGTCCTCCTTCATTTGGGCCATCTCTTTCTCTGTCTCTGCACTCTTCAGGAGAGGCTTAATCTTGAAGTACAACTTCATCCATGGCCAAGTCTTGACATTCATGAATGCACGGATGTTGTATTGGATGGTGAAAATAGCATCTCTGGGGATATGCAACAAACATTTAAACCAAGCCTTGAATTATGCATTCTAAATTCCTAAAAAAAAACTGCCACAAAACAGCAAATTACCGCCTCTCCATCATCTTGACAAACTCGCGCCGCATAAGGAATCCTCTGCAGAGAGCTTGAGTCATTGTAACCAGCTCTGCCAGTTTTTCATCTCGCATCTCCTCAAGGACTCCCAGCAGTCCAGCCTTGAAGAACACCTACAATCCCCCAAATTTGTAAGAATAACATTTAAAATGATGCATTAATGGTCTTTGCAAGCGTTTAGGACCTTACCTTGGTGTGCCCAAACTTGTACTGAGTGTGGTCAACATCAATAGAGCCCAAGAGTTTCTCAGAAGCCTTCTTGTTGTCAATGAACTGACCCTCAGGGATGACACTGGCATTGAGTACTTTGTATCTAAAGAGAAAGATTTCACCTATTAAGTCAGACTTTGCTATATTTTAGAGCAAGAAACCATTCTGAAAAAAATAAAGTCTTAAAAAATGCCTTCTAAAATGGAAAGTCATTGCCTCATTTAGTACAAGATCAGCATCTGGAAATATCTCATGTCAGTAACAGATTGGGTTGTTTAAAAGGAAGAGCTTTCTAACAGAAATATGTCTGAAGTTGAAAAAGTATTGACTGAACTCTGTTATGAATATAATCTATAGAAGACCAAAAATGCATGCAATCTCCTTGGAAATAAACAAGTAAGGGATACAGATTTCACTGAGCTCACTAAAAGCAGTTTGAAACATTCAACGATTCAAATTGTGGATTGACTCCCTCAGGAACTGAGGGAAAACAACAAAACCAATTTAATGAAACAACTCGGACACTGCACTAGAATACTGTAGACATTAAACCATAATAATGAAAAACCTACCCTGATGATGTTGGTAAATGAGAAAGTTGTGAAATCCCTACATGGCCTTATTAATACAAAGTAGACTTTTCTGGCGATGGCAGTACACATCAGAGAATCAACAATGGTCAAATCCATAGAAATTAGAAACATTACAATGTCTATCTCAATGCACCCAGAGTGGATTTTATTTACATATTTGTCAAAAGATGTAATTTGCCAGTGAGAGTGACAAGCAGACTTGTCTAACAACTAAACATATTCAAATATCTCCATAGTGTAGGTTGTCAGTGTTTTAAGGGAAGGTCTAGTTCAATCCTCCAGGCTTATTCTGGTTGACAAATCATCTAATAAATATTAACTTAATAAAATGCAGTGTGACCTGGATCGTTTGCTCCTATTATTTTTGTCTTAGGTGAACGCTTTAGTATGATCTTATTTGGCAATTTTGTATCTCATACATAATATTTATTTCTTGCTTTTTTTACATTGTTCCTGAATTTTAGTTTTTTTCTAAATTTAAATAAGCATTCAAAACAACTCACTCTTTGAAGTAGACAATACTTTTTAGTGTGCAAGATGAGATAAGTACCTCTGCTTGAAGTCACCATAAAGGATCCTGCTGGGGAAACCTTTTCTGCAGATTCTGATACCCTCCAGCACACCATTGCATCTAAGCTGGTGGATAACTAAGAAGTTCTCCATAAGACCTGTGTCACAAAAGTTGAATAAAAGGATTATTCTGAAGATGATACAACAATATATTACAAAATATATTTAAGATTTGTGTACCTGGAGTCTTAGACTCATTGGGAATCAAGCAGCGCACAAAATGAGGATGTGTGCTTCTCAGATTAGTCATTAGCTTGCCCAGATTCTCCTAAGGATAAATCAGAGGTCTAAAGTTAAATGGACGCTATAAAGTATATTAAATGTAATCAAAGATTATCCTACAACTCACCCTGAACAATGCAGACACTGTCTGGAAGGAGCCTCCCTTCTTTTTGCCACCCTTCTTGCCACCACCCTCTCCTGTCAGTATAACCAAATATTAAAAATGATGTACTTCACCATAAAATTAGATATTTCCCAAAAAATGCACATAAAAATGTCACCTTCTCCAGAAGCATGGGATGCATATAGAAAAGCCAGAAGTTTGCAAGCAGATTTCTGGTAAAGTTGGACCACAGTGTCATTCAGGGGGTCCTTATTCTTTTCCAGCCAGCCATTGACATTGTAGTCCACAGTGCCAGCATAGTGCACCAGAGAGAAATGAGCCTCAGCTTTTCCTTTGGCAGGTTTTGGCTTCTGGAAGGGGGCACTTTTTCCCAGATGTTGGTCATACAGTTTGCTCTTGAAGGTCATGTCTGTTGCCTTGGGAACAATACACTCCTCTTCAAGGATGGAGAAGATGCCCATTGGCTGTCATGATAGAAAGATACAATATAAAACATAAGATTTCACAGATTTAAAAGGATTTTCTGTGCGGGTCTAATTCAGCATGTGGCAAACCTTCTCAATGAGCTCAATGCATGCAGCCAAGTCCATGCCAAAGTCAATGAACTCCCATTCAATTCCCTCTTTCTTATACTCTT